CAAGCCAGGCGGAGAGACACGAGGGCCCAAGCCTTTGGAACGCAACGACGTCCAACTGCCGGTTGTAACTTGTTGGGGCTGTCGGCAAAGCTCAAAGAAACTATGTCTTTGTAGAGCCGCAAACAGTCATATTGGCTTGGCCCAGGTCAACTGCCATGGACTTTCCAACGAGGAGGCAAGCTGGTCTGGAAGCAGGCACAGCAGGGTGGTAATTAGGCGATCAGGCGCGTCAGTGCGGACGAAAATGCAATGCGCCGGGTTTGGAAGAGTGACGGACGGCGGCAATCAAGTTTGCGGAGCGATTGAGATTTCGGCGTGCAGCTGACAATTGAACATTGCCAGGGTCCTGGGGCCGGTCCCCCCCGGTCTGCATAGTCCAGAACATGGCCTTGCCGCCGCAGTGGTGCTGGTAAAGGGTATCCGTACTCCGTACCGGAAGCTTGGATGGATTATGGAACGCCATTTCGTCTGTTGAAGGTAGCAGTCGGATTGGATTGTGCAGAGTTGGATAATGACCAGGCCATTCGGTAGGTGCCGCCGCACAAGCATGAAGATGGGCGCAGGCATTGTGAAGCTGAAGCACACCGCAGTCTTTTCTGCATGCTTCAGACTTGAGAGTTTGGGGGTTGAAGTGGACACGGGGTGACAGGGTGAGGTGGCACCGTGGCAATTGGAACTTGGGCGCAAGGGATTTGAGATGCCAGCCCGGAGCCCGGGCTTGGTGCTGCTGGGGCTCTCATGCCGATGCCGATGCAAATGCAAGTGCAGATATGCGAAAGCGGATGCAATTCGAGCCCCTGATGCGGTCAAGAACCGGGGCGTGGCTGTTGTTGACTCGCCGTTGATTCGAAAGTACGGAGTACGAAGCAGGAAGATCAAATCGATAAAGGGGAACCGTACTTCGTACAGAACTAAGAATAGGACTGGCTGATGACGGGATGTGCAATGGTCTTTGCTGATCGTTCGTGACCTGAAACTAGCTGGGCCAATGTTGCAGCAATTCTTAGGCGACAGAATATGCGAGAGTAGAAAATGTATACGGAATATGGGGAAGATGTTGATCGTGCGATACTCGTATCTATTGCATAGACCATAGTCTTTATCCGTATCCTCGGAGGCTCAACGAAAGATCTAAGGTATCACGTATCAAGAATGCTTACCTAGTGTAGTTAGGGGGAGCCGATGCAAGGGAATAGTGCCATAATGCGACTAATAAGCTTCGAAGAGTGTTGAGACCGGAGTGCCGTAAGGGATGGAGATACGGATAAGATGATATTCGTAAAAATGTGAGTTGAGACTTGAGAGCAGCAGACACGATGTTGGCCAGGGTGACCCGTGTCGTGTTCCAGCAAGGCGTGCGCGTCAGGTTCGGGGTCCGTTTGAACGGGCTGTGCCTAGTGCGGCGTACCGAAGTAATAAAGCGAGGGTTCGGTTCGGTGGAGCCAACGTTTGCATGTGCAGGCGAGCAGCAGGTAAATGCGAAAGGGTACGGAGTAGGGAATTGAGGTCTGGGGGGTGAGGGAGAAGGCGGGAGGATCAGGTTCACCTTTTCTTGGCTCTCGCGATTCTGGAAACTCTGGGTCTCTGCGGTCCGCGGAAACGAAATGGGGAGGAACGTGGGAACCTTACCTTGGTGCCTTGGTACGTATACTTACCTAAGGTACGGAGTATTAGAGGAGAGGATTCTGACGGGACTGACTAAGGCATACCAGATGGACAATCCATGCATAAACACACCCGGAAAGAGCGCCCGTGTAAGCGACAGGCGTTCATAACTTTGACCACTTGAAGATACCTGCCCAGATGAGACCAGCCCGGCGTCCGTGCTCTTGTTCTTTCTTGTCTTTGCCCTTCCCGTCACTGTCATCATTCATGATCCTCTGCAGCCACTCGGCACAGCGGGAAGAGGAAGGAGAGGGGAAGTACCTTACCCTAGGTATGTACGGACGAGGTAGGGTAGGTAATTCGGGAAGAGAGAAACCACGTGCTAAGTACATTTATCGAACCAGCAATTGAAGTCTGAAGGTAAGTAGGCAGCGAGAGAGGGAGCGAAGCGGAATGCGCAGAGGAATTTGGCCGAATTGAAGTAATCCCGAGGCGAATTAAATTGGATTACTTGCGGGAGAAACTTGAGACGTTTTCATCTCATTACCATAACTAACTGCCACCGACTCGCTGATTGGTAGATTTTCTTTCTGTTTTCTCAAATAAGGAATTGTTTTTCTGAGCAATTGGTTAGGAGGAAAAAAACAAAAAAAAGCCAGTCTCGCACTCGCACACAACGCCATTTGAAATCTTCTTCTTTCGATTCATGCGCGCGCGCGAGCCGTAAATCGCTCCTTGACCGTCGCATGCCGTGCCGTCCCTAGATCCAATAGTGTAGTCAGTGACGAGTGTGTGATCCAGCTTCGACTCGCATCGCATCGGTCGGAGTTGGGCGTGTGGTGCGGGCCTGTCGGCAGCAGCGCCGATAGAAATCAGGGACTAGAGGTGTAATGACGGAGCTGAGTTTTTTGATTGAGTTGTGGCTGTGACGGGATTGAGAGCTTGGCCCGTGGGAGAAAGCGCGCAAAGGGGGCGAAAGCGAATCACTAGGTATCCGTACCTAACTACCTACCTTCCTAGGTATGAAAAGGTGGTCGTCATCTCAAGCGGCCAAGGTCATGCCCACTTTGGCAACTGACAACCCCCCCCCCCGGTTCAAGACGTGCCAAAAAGATGCGAGATTCGTGAGCGTGGTGTCCAAGGCTAACGGCCAAAAAAGCAAGGTCCACATTGACAGTTGAAAGTTGAACTTGGCACCTTGGGTAGGTATCCGTAGTCCATACCTACCTGTCGTGGGAGCTGTTGTGACTTGTGAGTCGTGAGTGTGACCAGGTGCTCCCGACCAAACCGATGGCCCCAGTTCCCCACTGCGAGATCATTTGTAGCTTTCTGTCTTGCCTTAGCGTATTCTGTACCGAAAGACCGACCGACCGACCGACGGCCCCGGGGTTGAACACGCGATGGGATGGACTGGAATGGGATGGGACGGGAGACATGTGCAGCTGTACGAACTGTGTGTTGGTATTCCATCGTGTCCATCATGTCAATCATGTCAATCGCTTCTGTCTTATTGTCGTCACGTCGTCACACTCGGCTAGCTCACCTGCCACCAGGCCGCTACCTCATGGCCGACTTCCTAACCCCTGCTCGTGCACAACTTGCTTATGCCTAGTGTGGTGTATCAATGACTGAGGCGTGTGAGGGGGCATCTGTAGCTGAGTAAGATCGATACAATCATTTATCTGTACGGATAAGGTACATGAAGGTGCTTGAGACAAGATGCAGTTTGGGCTGCACGACAACGCAAACACTCCAAGCCTTGAGCACGCTTCTTCTTGGAAATATGACAAAACAAACATGACGGCAACTGAGAAAAGCCGCTGTATAAAGACAGATGAGGTGAGGTGAGGTGAGGAAGTGAGTGAGGAGTGAGGAGTGAGCTGCAGGTACTTTACTCCGTAACCTGGAAGGAACCCTTTCGGGCCCGTCCCAGTCCCAGCGATTGCACCGCCCCCACCCCTGCTCTGGCGGCTTCCATGCCCAGACCCACACCCTCCTTGCTATTCGATGCGTCCACAACCACGATCCCACGCCTGTCCAGTCCGGTCCCGCCCCGCCCGGTCCAGTCCCAAGGAGCCACTGGGAAGGCGCTGGAGGTTCTTTCTCTCCTCCCGTCCTGCCTGCTGTCTCTACACTACGTGACTACCTGGCAGGAGAAGGTAGAGTGCGGCCTCTGGCAGGACCGACTGACTGACGCTGGCTGTCGACATCTGGTCCCTGTCGCGCTCACAAAGTCACCACGCTCGAACCCGTCCAATACCATCCATGCCATCCGCCCAGTTCCAGTCCTGGTCCCTGTCACTGGTCATGGTTCTCTCGGGTCCCCAGTCTTTCGCTGCTCATCCTATTCTCTCGCTGGCTGCTGCTCTTTTCACTTTGCCGCCGCCGCCTCTTTGCTCTGCCACCTGCACTTGCACCTACTTGCACCTGCGTGCTACCTTACCACCTTCCCGCCCGCCTGCTTATTCGGCTCCTGCCAACCACGCCGAAAACACTCAAAGCCCAAGGCTGCTCCGCTGCTCGGCTTCGACCTGTCATCTCGTCTCTTCTCCTCTTCCTTCCTTCCTATTTCTAACTACCTATTCAAACAACCCCCTCACGTCTCCTTCTACCACGGCCTACAGTGACCCGCCTAATCCGCCAGTCTCTCACGATCACGAACTGCCTGACGACTACGCCTAATCCCGACCGATCCTCCAATAAATACTCTCACACACACCAACTTTGCACACTACCAGGGAAAGAGAAACCGAATCTCAACCTTCATAGCTCGCACCGCCATGGTCTCTTGCGATTTCTAAAGGCCCCAACGCCCCATTCCGGCCCTTACAGTTCGGCCCCCAGTTTGATTGCTAGCAACAATCAATCGGCATTTGCTCCCGTGCATTCCGCCTGCCAGTCGCCTGCTGCTTGTCATACCTCACGCCTCGCGCCTGCTGTTAGACCCATCTCATCTAAGGTGGTGCCAGCTCTTGCCAACGCATTGTCTCACCATCCAACAACCCCAATTACCCAAGTCCATACTTGGTAGCTTCTGTCTCTCGTCCTAAGCGGGCTGACAGATTCAGAGGGAATGGATTCGTATGTCTCTCATCCTTCAATAACCAGCCCGTGCCTCTCGTGATCTTTCTCTTGTCTCTGCCTGTTCAGCTCGAGAAAGTCACGATCAGCACCGGCTTGCACTTTGCACTCATCGCCGTCAAATGGCTGTAACTAACCTTGTGTGGCACAGCTTTATCGCCGTCGCTGGCTGGGCACAGCATACCAGTCCTCAACCCGGTGGAAGACCATTTGGCCATTTTCGATCTCTCTCTTCAATAGCTCGATCTCCGTCACCAAGTCCCCGAGCCACGAAAACGTCGAGTAAAGCACCTTCCGTTGTTGACATGCCCATCATGTCTTCCTCCGTAGCATCTTCGCCGTCACTACGACCCACGACAACAGTGACACCTCCAGATGACGACGGCGAACTGAGCACCTTACCTGACCCACGCAGCCGGGCTATGAGTCCCGCAAGCGAAGCCGATAATGCTCAACACCCCGAGCTGAATGACGAAGTCGCAACCCTGAGCGCCAAATTAATTAACGCCATCAACCACCAGACAACCCTCGACGACACATTATCCGCCACAAGACAAGAGTTGGAAAGAGCACGCGAGAAAATCAAGCATTTAGAAGAACAGAATGAATCCCAGAGAGAGATGCTCGCAGGCGATATTTGGATTCGTCGCAAGACCGCCGAGGAAGAAAAGAAGACAATTATGCTCCGTGTTACACAGGAGAAGAAACTCCGCGAGGATGCTGAGAAGGAGCAGAAGAGGATCGAAACAGAGCTGGAGAGCTTGTCCACCGCTTTGTTCGAGGAGGCCAACAACATGGTTATTACCGCGAAAGAGGAGGCGAGATTGGAGCAGGAGGTTATCCAAAGAAAGAACGACAATCTGAGATCCCAGCTTGGCGATATGGAGGCCTTGCTGACCTCACAACAACAGCAACTAGCCGATCTCAAGCACGTCATGGAGCAGATGATGCTCGAAAGAGACGATGCTACGACCGGCACAGCTCCTTCGTCTCCCGGCTTTAGTAAACCCGACACCACGAAGGACGATGAACGCTCAGAAGGCCTAGTCGCTTCACCTCTCATGGATCCCACTTCGCCAACGTACCCTACTAGCTTGACACATCTCATCCAGCCAGTTCTCAGGACTGATCTTGGAGCTTACGAGGATTTCCTTAACCTTACAAAGCTGTCCAGGAATCGCGCTGGTAGCCGTGTTTCATCTGGCTCATTCAACGGTCTAAGTGGGCTGGGTCTTGGTATGGGCGGCAGCACCTCAAGCGCTCACCCTTCCAATGCCTCGACTGCTTCCCTATCCATGACGGGGACTCCAGCGACGTCATCGCCGCAGACGCCGAATACCCCGGCCTCCGTGTCAAGCACGGCCTCAGCAAACTTGGGCCCACCCCCGCCGGCTCTAAAGGAAACCAAGTTTTTCAAGCGTGTCCTGGCAGAAGATGTCGAGCCGACACTCCGACTGGACATTGCCCCGGGCCTGTCCTGGCTTGCGCGTCGCAGCGTTTTGAATGCCATGAGCGATGGCTCAATCGTGGTGGAGCCAATTCCTGCCAATGCGCCCTTTGCGTCAATTGTCAAGCCGCAGTTCTACCCCTGTTCCTTGTGTGGCGACGCACGGAAGGATGAAGAGCACCTTCGAACATATCGCTTCCGAACCAGCGAGTCCGAATCAGCCCAGAGATACCCCCTCTGCAAATATTGCCTAGGTCGTGTGAGATCCACCTGCGATTTCCTCAACTTCTTGCGCATCGTCAAAGACGGCCACTGGCGAGCGGAGGACGAAGATGCGGAGAAGGCTGCCTGGGAGGAAAGCGTCCGCCTGCGGGAACAGATGTTCTGGTCCCGAATCGGTGGTGGCGTCATCCCGGCCAGTCATCATCATTCACTACCCTTGGAGAAGAGCCCTCGAACTAGCCATGAGAGCGAGTCTAGAGACACAGAGCCAGAGGTAGCAGTGACACCTTCGGAGAATATCGATGATGCTACTCCCTTTGCCACTCCTCTCGAGGAGACAGCTAGCCAGCTGGACGCTGAGGAGTCACTAGCAAGACCAGAGACGCCTTGCCCGAGTAATCGAAACTCAACACGGTCGTCTTCGCCAGAGAAAAGCTCCATTGCAGAGAAGGACGGAGAGAAGCGACTGTCAATCAACATTCCCATCAAAGAGGAGCAACAAATTATTGTTGCGACAACCGAGGAAAAGGTCGAAGCTACAGCATAATCATGGGCGACTTGTCATTAGCGATCAACCTTCGATTTCCGATACACACCACATACACTTAATCTTCGATACTGTATTAATTACGCTCCCCACCGTAGCAAGAATGCCGGGGCTCATAATGAAGATCAAACGGGAGGACAACACGGGGAAGTCAGGGAAGGGGCAGAGCAAATTCACGGAAACGTGACTAGGATGGACAGAGGGGCACAAACAACCCTTTTCTCTTTTTTTTTTGGTCGTTATTCTGGGCATTTTTGGAAGGGGGCATTGGCGTTTTGGAGAGCAAAAAACTGTGTCCCATTTCAAAAGGGGGGACAAGCAAACAGTTGCCATCATAGGAGCAGGAGGGGGAGGCTGAATCAAGCAAGGCACAGTTGCTAGACGAACAACAGGAACAAACAGGATAGGGGATCACAGAGACAAAAGGTTACTGCATCGTAATGCCTTCTTATTAATGCCAAAGATGACGATGCCTCGAGCATTGGATGAACCCTCAATACCTGTCCATTTTGCGCCAACTGAAATTATGAAACCTTGTCCTCCTATGTTCAAGCCTATGACGACTACTGCTGATCATGACGGAGAATGGGTTCACAAATCACAAATTACACAGGAACAGTGTTTTAGTGTACATGTCATTTCTTTTTTGAATCTTACAACAAATGAAAAGTTTTGGGCCTTGTTGGCCCCCATCCCGGCCTGCTCATTCCACCCCCCCCCTTAGTCATGGCTTGGTATACAATGGGCGAATTCGACGCGGAGAGAAAATGGTGAGATCAAAGATGATTTGATCAACTTTCCCCCATCGGGTTGCACATACTCCAGGGCATGCCATTACAATCCAGCCCAGATTTTCATCCCCTATTCGACATTTTAGAGCTCTTCCTGAGCAGTAGCCTCCTTGCCGCCATCGCTTGCGGGCTTGGCCTTCTTCTGCTCGGCCTCTCTCTGGCCCTCGACGCTCTCGGCGACCTTAGGGGCGGCGGCTGAGTCGTCGGCCTTGGACTTGGTCTCTTGATCGACGCCCTGAACATCAGGATGAGGAGGGGCGACGTTCTGCTCTTGAGGCCAGCCACCCTCAGGCATCTGAACCTCGTTTCCACTGGCGTCGACGACGCGTGTCCGCGTCTCGTATTTCGTCTTGAACTCAACCTTGCCCTCCAAGGCCTTCACCTGCTCCTCGTCGAGGAGGTTGCCGTCCTGGTCCCGGTACTCAACCTTCTCTTCGCGGGACAGAACCTTCTGGCCTGCGGCTCCCGAGACGGCCGGCTCCGCCTGCTCCTTCTGGGCCTCGCCATTGGGGATCTGACCGACTTGCCCGCCTGCAGGAGCGGCAGGAACCTCAGACTTGATAGGTGTCGGAGTGGCTCCAACAGCGGCGGAAGTACGAGTGAGGAGCTCAGTGTATTGAGAGTACTGTAACGCCAGAGAGTAATGTCAGCCTCGTTCCATCAAATTCACAAGCCCTGCCGAAGGTGATTTGCCGAATCTCGTTTCAATTGGCTATCAACCAGTTCTCAACACCGATTCCGCCTGACCCAAGATAACCCTCACCACAGGCATTACAGTCCTCTATCTGGCACCCCTCTACTCGGAATAAAAGCAGTAGTATTACTTACGTCATCGAAGAAGTTGTTGCAGTCGAAATCCCATGTGCCGACGACCTTGAGCCGGCTGCACTCTGCCTTGGTCCAGGCGTTACCATAGGCCAAAGGAGAGAAGAGAATGAAGGCGACGATCGTGAGCGCTAAGAAGGCAACGGCGCTGACGCGGTTGATGGCAGGGTTCTTGCGGATACCAGCGAGCGAGACCCGAGCAGTAGCGAAGTCGAAAATCGAGCAGAACGCCATGACTGCGAAGTAGAGAGCGGGGAAGTAGTGGTGCAGGAACAGCTGACGGTCCATCAGGTAGAAGGGGAAGTAGTGGAACGCCCAACCCAGAACCGCAGTGCCGATTTCGTAGTCGAATCGCTTGAACGTGGTGTTGGAGTAATCGTTGCAGCTGCGCTGCCAACGGAGAGTTGCAATGCCCTTGAAGAGAACGTAAACAACGACAGCAAGAGTAGAGCTCCACCACACGATGGGGTTGCCCATGAGGTAAATCTGGCGGTGATCCTTGCCCCAGAAGTTGATGCCGCGCTTGAGGAAGGGCCACGAGTCAGGACGAGAATCCCAGGCGTGAGATTCGACCAAGCCAGCATTGGTCTTCCACATGACCTTTTGAAGCTCCCAGAACTTGCCAAAGAAGCCGGGGTGACGGTAGTTGACCTTCTCGACGTTGTCGCCGATCAGTTGAGGGTGCTCATTGTACTCGATATACCACAAACTATTGGGAAGGGTACCTCCCTTCGCGCAAGTGACCTCCTGTTGCTCAGAGGCCCACTCAGGGAGCTTCACCTTGTGCGAAAAGAGGACACAGCCAGTCATGATGTGGACCAATCTGAACTTGGTCTCGATCGTGCGAAGACGCTCTCTGGAAGCGGAGCTGAGGGACTGCTTCTTGATAATCTCAATCTTGAACAAGTCGTTGGCGTCGCCCTCGAAGCCCTCGTAGCCGTAAGCGGACACCTCGTTCTGCCAATCAGCCTCCGTCACAGGGGGTCTGACGTCGTGGGAATGAAGGCGACGGAACGTGGGAGTGTGGTAAAGGCGAACGACATCGCCATCCTTGATAAAGACAGGCTCAGGGAGGTTGTCCCAGGCCTGAGTTCCGTTGATCTGCTCGCCGTTGATTCCAAGAGGCTGGGTCTGGTTCTCGAGGAGCCAGAGGTTGTTCTCATCCTTGTGGGGGTAGAGAGTGATCTGCTGCTGCTTGCTACCGGTGGGGTACATGAGGGGGTGAGAGTGCAGGTAACCGCCCTGTGTGTTGGCGTGTCTGATGCTGACACGGCTACCAAAGGCGACGTCGGCGGCCACATCTTGCATACCCTTGGAGTTGAGAGTAGACTGGAACTCGGAGCTCATGAAGCCGTCGCCGTCGCCAGGGTTGACCAAGCAAAGGAAGTGGATGGCAAACATGGCCATGTAGAAGACGACAGGGATGATGACGAGGGCGAAGGCGCGAGCCATGAAGTGCTTGGCCCAGATGCGCGGCGTGACGTTCTTGGTGTCTCCAAGGAGAACCCAGAGCTGGACGAGGGTCAAGCTTCCAACCCAGGCAATGGTGAACAAACCAACCCATTTGATGCTGACAGTCGTACCCAGACCAAGGCCAGTCATCAAAAGCCAGAACCACCAGCTCAACTGGAAGGCCTTCTCGGGTCCTTGTTCATGCTGGTTCGTGAAGGACTGGAAGGAGAGGGCGGTGAAGGCGGTTGCAACCATAAGAGGAGAGTCGAGGAGAATGAGGCGAGCTTGGGTAAGAAGACCGTTCTCTGTAGAGAGTGTTAGTTAGTGATTCGTAGGTGATTGGTGAGGCACTTTGCTCTTACCGAAGATGATCAGACTAGAGCCCATCAGAGCTGTGGTGGTGCGGCATCCGGTGGTCTTGAGAGTCAGGAACATAAGAGGGGCGAGCAGGATACCGCAAATGGCCGGGAACATGCGCATGGCGACGTAGGGAACACCGGGCTCGAGGTAGTCCTTGCCGATATCCTTGAAGTCGAAGTCGCCGTTGAAACCAGCCAACCAACCGGTGAGAGCGATGAGCATCTTGGCCAGAGGAGGGTGAACATCCATGAAGAATTTGCCCTTGATGTATTTCGAAGCGAAGCCACCGAAACTGTAGGCGAGGGCGTCAGCGATAATTCGCATGGGAGCTAAGGCAAGGGGGATTCTATGTGCTTACTGGACCTCGTCAAATACGACACTGGTGGGCTGGTAGATTCGGAACAGGCGAACGATGGCGGAAAGGATGGTCAAGCCGAGCATGATCTGGTAATCGGAAACAGGCAGGAGAAAGACATCGTTGTCTTCAACACCGTCGGACTTGTAGCTCGGTTCGCGCTGGACAGGGAGTTTGCTATAGCCATTGCCATTGCCATTGATGCCGTTGACACCGTTGACCTGCTTCTCGAGCTTGGGGCTCGGAGAGCGGACTGGCTTGGTGGCAGCCATGGTCGCAGAAAGGGTATCGATTCGGGGGAGACAGTCGGGATGTTCGAGGCGGGCGCAAATGTCGTCCACTCAACGTCGAGGGCGGCTTCGACTTGGTAGCGGGCGACGTGGACGACGAGGGCGGAGAGCGGTCGTCAGCACCTAGGAAGGTGAGAATGGTACGCGAGGTTTTCTCGCGTCGGTCGAGTGGCAGAGAGGTGGGAAAAGGGATCAACGAAAGTCGAGAAGGGAAGAGGTCGATTAAAAGGCCGTCATTTAGCAAAGGTGAATGACGGGCTCAGTAGAAGAATGCCCTCAATGGAACAAGAAGAAAAACAAGGAGGATGCTTTCTCTTCCCGGCTGGAGTAGATGGCAGAAAAAGGGAGCAGGGGCAGGTATCCGTAGAGAGTAAGGCAGAGTGCTGTTAAGGTAGAATCTGGGTTTGCTGCCTGGCGGAAAGTTTAGACCGCGGAAGCTGATGACAGCTGGGGGGAGGCCAGGCTGGAAGGGAGGATAAGGGGGCCAGGGTCGGAGTTGTAGCTTAAGTGGCCTCATCCCATGTGGTTTGACAGCCAGCAATTGGTTGAAGCTAGGGCCTGCCTGGGACCTGCCTGGGACCTGCCTGGCTCCATCCAGTGATCCCCCTCCCCCCTTGAGTCTATCCACGCCCCCTTCCCACGATTTCCCATGGTCGGGTCGTCCCCCTAGACAGTAGACAGTAGACAGTGCCTTCCTCAGTAAAGATGCAGACATGCAGTGCAGACTCTCCTCCTTCTGTCCTTCAATGCCCGCCTTATACTACTGCATGACCTTGTCAAGCCATAGAACTACGAAGGTCGGCAAGGCAGTCTACAACATATTCCCCAAGGCGCTACTCAAATGTGAATATGGTCCCTAAAAAGCTCGGGTAAGGGGGGACCCGTGGACGCGTATATTTGGACCATCTCACACCCCACCGATGTGCCAGGGGGTACCTTTGGATGTTTGCCAGTCTGAGGCAAGAAGCACCTTACGCGCTTCACGGTGGTACCGAGTGATTGTCAACCAGCATGTGAGGTGGTAGCATAGCCCCGGACCCGAACTACTTATATATCACATTGTCTAGATGTTCCTCCCACACAACTGATAGATCTCAACACTCCATTGATCTTGTCCTCGACCCAATGTACAAGAAGTCATCGTTGTGACTGGACAAGTGTCCTCAACACGAGCTACACGTACCTTACAGATAAATAATTTTTTAGCCCGTCCAATGTGTTGGAGTACCTGCCTTGGAGCTGCGTTATCTTAGCTCCGGCCGCGTACCCGTGCTCCTCTAGCGCCAAAGGTAGACGGCGGGAGACGTGCTGTGGCTGCCTATTGTTCTCTCTGAGGTGCGCCCGGCCACAATACCTACTACCCCAACGGACAGAGCTCAGCTTCTCATCCGCCCAGGCGCACTGGCGCGTTGGACCCCATCCATGCCCTCCATGTCCACTATTGATGGACGCTGGCCTGTGCACCGGTACAATGCGGCTGAAAAAGAGACAGCGTACGTAAGGCAACTTAAGGCAACTCTACCTCACACAACATCACCTGGGCCTATCCTTCTCAACTGCACCAACTGGCTCCACAGTCTATTTCCATCTTAGTGGTGCTATGCATCGAATATGGGTTTCATACATCGAATTGGCCCCCATTTAGGGTACGGACTCAATGGAAACATCACCACGTCCACGGACGCCTTCCTGCCTCTGGTGAGCACCCGGCCAGCCTCGTGGCAACTCCACCAAAGCCATCTTGCTCGAGCCTCAAAGGGCTGGGCAGTGAGCGACACGCGTTGAGTGGCTGTTCCATGCCTCGCCAAGGCATGTGGACAGGTGGAAGTTGGGTATCGGAATGTAGCCACAACGGCCTCCCTCCATTCTTAGACATCCGCCTCTGATCTCAATCCCTTACTTCCCGCTTTGAGACAGCCGCCGGAACCAGCAATAATGATTGGCCCAGGACCTACTCAAGATAATCGAATTCGGTTCGTGAAAAAGGAATCAATCAACTTTTGAATGGTTGGAACTTCGGAAAAAAAATGAAGAAATGCACCAATGTGGTGTAAGTGAGGGAAGGCTCGTCGGCGCTCAAAAGACCAACTGACTTACTTACACAGACATCTCTCTATCAGTTAGGTTGTGCAGCTTGACCCCCAGTGTCATTGAGAAACTACGATAAGTAACTAATCTGCGTAGAAATATTGCAATCGTTATGCTTACTTAATTCAAGGTTCAAACTAAAAAGAAGAAGAGAAAAAAGACATAATAATCATCATCACTTGGAGAAAGTGCAAAAGCTCGGCCCCCCTCACGGGGGGCCTACGAAAATCACTAGACGGCATTTCCATCATATTCCTCAGATGTAACGATACTAGTGATTTTTCACGAGACTCGAACTCGTGACCCATGGGAGCGGGGCAATTCAAACGAGGACATTCCCCGCCAAGCCATGGGCCTCGGTGACAATATCGAGCAAAATTGTTGACTATGTAGGTAAGGTAGGTAGGTATCAAGGTAAACCACCTTCCACCTGAGGTTATTCGCGAGACTGAAGATCACCAGATACTACGAATACGCGCATCTGGAAACCCTTATGGCCCGTGCACTACTTCCTCCCAAAAACCGGCTGACTAAGATACGTGCCAGCCGGTCCGGGTCTAGGTTGCCTGGGAACCTCCGAAAAAAGTTAACGAACGCGGCTTGTGAGCTTTACCTTCGTCTCGACTTCTATCCAGCTCCACGCGCCGCATCCTGACGACATCAACCCGATCTGCGCGCGCCCTCCCCCACACAACATGGCCTCGACTGACATGGCCTCGACTGCGACCAACGGCGACGCCGCCGCCGTATTAGACGAACTCAAGCCTCCTACCGGTGTTGTTCTGCCGCCTCGCGAGATTCGCAATGTTCTCGAAAAGACGGCAGGTTACGTCGCGCGAAACGGTCTCATCTTCGAAGACAGAATTCGCGAAAAGGAGCGCTCCAATCCGAAGTTCAGTTTCCTCAACAATACCGACGCATATCATGCATTCTACCAGTGGCGCCTTGATGAGATCAAGGCCGGCCGCGGCACTGCCATCGCCGCTGGACGCGCCAACGAAGCAGCAGCACCCGTCGAGGAGAAGCCCCAAGGCCCGCCCAAGCCTCCCGATTTCCAGTTTTCGGCCCGTATGCCGCGCATCAACCAGAAAGATCTCGAGGTCATCCGATTGACCGCCCTATTCGTTGCGAAGAACGGTCGACAGTTCATGACCCAGCTTGCCCAACGCGAAGCCGGAAACCCGCAGTTCCAGTTCCTTATTCCAAACCACACGTTCCACAACTTTTTCCAGCATCAGGTCGACCAGTACACAGCGTTATTGAGGGCCAGCGGCTTGGGTGGTGAAGGCGGCAAGATTGAGCAAGAGCGGATTAGCCATATTCAGCAAAACATCGACGACAAGTACCATGTCCTGAGCCGCGCGAAGCAACGTGCCGAATACTCAAAGTTCCAAGAGGTTGAGAAGGTGAAGAAAGAGGAGGAAGACGAGAAAAAGAAGCTCGAGTTTGCTCGGATCGACTGGAACGACTTTGTGGTTGTCGAGACTATTGTCTTCACTGATGCCGACGAGTCTGCGAACCTGCCGCCTCCGACAAATCTTTCCGAATTGCAATACGCTTCCCTTGAAGAGCGAAACAAGGCATCATTAACCAACCTTCGCATTGAGGAGGCCATGCCCGACGAGGATACGTCGTACAATGCCTACCCTCAGACCTCCCAGACATTGCCAGTCCACACTGGCTATGCGCCTCAGCAGCAGTTCCAGGTGCAAGCACCAGCAGGCTTCCAAGGCTATGCGGACGGCATGCCGCGACGATCGGCAGAAGAGGAGGAGGAAGAGCGGAAAATCCAGGAGAGGACAGAGGCACGTGCCAGGGAACAACAGGCACGTGCTGAAGCACGTGGTGGAACTGCTCCGATGAAGATCAAAGAGAACTACGTGCCCCGAGCACTCCAACGAGCGGCCAACAAGCAGAGCGTCCAGATGGCGCTGTGCCCGAATTGCAAGCAGCAAATTCCCATGGATGAGCTGCAGGATCATATGAGGAGTGAGCTTGATACCCGCCTTCCCAAATGAATGTTGAATATTGCTAACAATTTCTGTAGTTGAGCTGCTGGACCCTCAATGGAAAGACCAAAAGGCAAAGGCAGAGGCGAGATACTCCACGACCAACCTGTCCACGGCGGATGTCGCAAACAACTTGAAGCGTCTAGCAAGTCAGAGAAGCGACGTCTTCGACGGCGTCACCGGTCAACCCCTGTCAGAAGAAGAGGCTGCCCGGCGCAAGAAGGCTACGATTCACAGCTTCGATGGTAACCCCGAGGGCAAGAGTCAGGCTCACATTAACCACCTACATAACCTGAACGTCGAGGAGCAGATCCGCGCTATTCACCAGAGATTTGCGGACAAGAAGTAGGCGGTTACGCGCCAACAATGGCCGGATTGATCGGCCAAGATGCACGTATCAGATGCCGACGTCCGGGGTCTTGAGCATTCGGGCATGACATGGCGCCGCACACAGCTTCGGCTGGAGTAGGAAGCTGAAGCAGAAGTCTTCAGAGTCGGGCTCTGGGATATTGGTAGAGCCTGTGTATAGACACGAATAGAGGATTGGCTTGGAGGTGAGAACTCGGCGTTTACTGGTTGCTTGTTTTCAGAGGACTCATGGCGCCCCAGCATCGTTCTATCACTTTTCAACCGGTCTATGGCGTCTGCTGCGGCGAGTAGTTTGACCCAGACGCTGGGATTCTGGAGTGGTCGAGGTCCACTAGCCGCGAGACGTGAGCATGGTGCCTCAGAAGTGGTCCAGCATGCGCACTGCACCTGCTGGTGGTCAATGATTGTATTTATATGCCAGCATCCAGGAGTTGAGGCAGAAGGGACATGAGGCCAAGATACAACGAAGGCGATCTGCAGGACAAAGGTAGTTCCAAAAAGTTGGGGTTCTGCTAAATGGGGTAAAGACATCCTTTTTAGCAACACAAATCCAACCTTAATTCCAACAGCAGCTCAAGATCTGGTTGGAACTGACGCAGTCTTATGTATAATGCGAGGAAGGAAATGCTGAAGTCCAATTACCCAACAGCCCAGTTCTACGTACATTGCCTTGATACCAAGACCCGGTTAGCCAAACTGAAAGTGGTTTACAACTAGTTACTTGGGAACGGCTCCAGAAATGCCTCCCGGTCCACAAAGTGCCCCCCCCCCACCTGCTCAATTGGGTAGCGCTGCCGGTCACAGTTACGAGGAAGTGCCCCCCCCCCCCCACCCCACCTCGTACCCTCAGACGGCGCATCGGCTCAGCCTCCTCCCAATAATCAAGCGATCCGGTCTGTTGCGGCAGCGGCCGGGACTGGCGTTCGTCATATTGCTCCCCCGCAATTCACCGGGCAGCTACAGTAACAGGCACCCAAGTAAACCACACTGCACTACTTGCTTGCTGCCACCCTTTTTTTTTATCGTAATCGGCCGCACTTCGCACCCGATTTGATTCCCCCACCTCGACATTTTTTCCCATAACGAACAACTAACCTCACATCGCCTCGGCCCAGAACCAAGGACTCAGTCACGCAACACCAAAGAACGAGTCTCATCGATTCGTAGCAGACAACCGCCAAAGAGAAAGAGAGGGACCGAGGGATCCCGAACAGCAGTCAGCACAGAAGAACAATCGTTCCCACCGAACCCGATATCGCGCCCGCACATACCTCGACGACAGACTCCACGCCCTTCCCCCGCCCATCCCTCGCGCGAACAACGTGAGAAACAGCCACCGCTTCGCCGACCATCACTTTATCCCTCTTCCCGCCGAGGACAAGTCGCCAAAACGGATTCCGGAAGCCAGAACGCCGCTCGCGCTCCCAGCGCTGAGCCCACCTCTCCCACCTCCCCGACCGGATCACAAGCAGGCAGCCAGGCCTCGCCGCCCTTCCACCGGCCCATCATGCAGGCAATGCCGGATAACCGACAACAGTCCTTTGACGAAATCTACGGCCCGCCGGAGAATTTCCTCGAAATCGAGGTGAGAATGTCCAGCAAGCTTCCACAGCAGCAGCGCAACCCCGTCCTTTCTAGCCTGTCACGATAGTCCCGCATGCCCTTCGTTCCCCCTCAACAGCCCGCCTGTCCGCCCATTCTCTCATGCGCCCGAAGTAAGGGATTAAGATCACAATCTAACAACCTCCCTCTAGGTCCGCAACCCCCGAACCCACGGCATGGGCCGCAGTATGTACACCGACTACGAGATCGTCTGCCGCACCAACATCCCCGCCTTCAAGCTCCGCGCCTCGAGCGTGCGCCGTCGCTACTCCGACTTTGAGTACTTCCGCGACATCCTCGAGCGCGAGAGCGCCCGCGTCACCATCCCTCCCCTTCCCGGGAAGGTGTTCACGAACCGCTTCAGCGACGACGTAATCGAGGGCCGCCGCGCGGGTCTCGAGAAGTTCTTGCGCATCGTTGTCGGACACCCGCTTCTGCAGACGGGCAGCAAGGTCCTGGCGGCCTTTGTTCAAGGTGAGGGGTGATTTCTTACTCGTCGTTTTTGAGCACCATACTTGGTGCTGCGCTTGGCTACCGGGGGCGAGGATTGCTACGATACCCGAGGCATGGAGAACGTGGACTGACGCAATTTCATAGACCCTAACTGGGACCGTAATGCGTGGTGACTGAAGCTCCGCATCAGCTTCTCCTCGTCTGTTTCGCGAGCACCGAATAAACTGCGCAAAAGGCCACCCAAGCACCATCGAATCGACACGCAGCTCGAAGAAGGGCTGACTGCAAAGAGCTCCATCTCTTATGAATGAACCCCTTTGAACGCCTGGGTTGTTTGGAAGCCCGAGGTGGTTTGGACAAATTGGAGGGTGGCATAAAAGCAATAGGGGGATCCCAGTGTCTACGGCCATTGGGTGTGCGGGCTTCTACTTCTTCTTCCAGTTCTTCCTCGTAGTGTTTATTTTCGACTTGCCCCAAAACATTTTTTTCCAGTCCCTTTCTGCTAGTTTGATTTTTAACACCCTGTTTTTTGTTTTTTTGCGCCGAGCACGACAACCCCGCCGAGGCGGACAGCATCAGCGTTGCTTATCTCCTCGACATGGGAAGAGGAGGGGGATGATGAGGGTGAGGGTGAGGAAGCAGGAGGAAGGAAGAGGCTGGCGTTAACAAAAAAAATATTTTTTGAAGAAAAATTGAGAACCACGACTATCAAAATACTCTCCAATAAATGTGATTGATTATGTATGTGTTCAAGGCGCACACACGGGAAAAATGTCTGGTTCCCTTTCTAGGGTACATGTGAATGGAGAAGATTCCAGATCTTTTTTTGAAGCTGGTAAAAGTTGGCAAGCAGTGTTCTAGGGTACTTGCTTGCCCGGGCGAATATGAACTGGGGCCAAGTTTTCCATGACCCTAACCTACCTTCCTGTTGAGGTCTGAGAGATCCAACTTAACAAGGTTGGTAAGTAAGTAGACCTGTGCGAGTACACGTAGACGTCTTTTCCCTTTGAAGAGAACTCGAATTGAGTGATGGTTTTTTGTTCCCATCATGATTATTTCAGATGCGCATAATACATCACACCACTGCTCATACCACTCACGTATCTGTAGTCTTCATGGGTTGTGACTTCTCTTTTTCTTTTGTACATTATGATACACAGATGGTAGTCTTCTCTGTGAAGACGTTTCCCCCCCCCTCTGTTCAAAGGGGGTGGGCCTACTTTGGTTGCAGGTATAAGTTTTTCTTTACTCTTTTTATACAATTGTTCCGCCAATCCTGTTCCTACAAAACGCCTTCTTATGCCCCCTCGCCCCCCCCTTATTCTCCCCAAAAGAGTAGTGTTAATCAGTGAGGTGAATTCTGCGAGGCCCAATCACGCCTCCCGTGAAAGAGCTTGCCTCCCCTCCGCCGGTTTGTGGGGGGGGGGGGGGGGGGGGGGGTAAGAGGAGGTCCTGTCCTTTTAACCCAAGAAAGTCTAGAGATCGGTTTCGCCTTCAGCTCATATCGTATATGAAGAAACACCCCCTGAGCTTTCGTGAACGGCTGTCAAAGAGGGAGTTGAGAAGAGAATCCTCAAAGTAAACAGCTCTTCCCTCCCCTGATCCGTTGAGTCCGATCCGTCCGTTTTTCCCATCTCCCAGAGCTGCGATGGTTTGCGTCGATCGTTTTAGTCGTGAGGGTGTTGTTGTTTTGTAAATGTATTATGGTACAGTTGAATTGTTACATCCAAAGAGGAGTCCCGGCCGGTCATCGCCGTTTGCTGGGACCCCTCGTTGGTGGTGTTGATGGTAAGTAGTCGAAGAAACCATCATGTAGGATGTTCTTCTCTTAGCAGAGCGTTTGTTTACAAGCTCGCATTGGCCTTGCTAGAGGCGCCAAAGAGACGCAGAATACCCTCGTACATGCCAAACATGATGGCCGCGCTGGGGACGGTGCGCATGAGATGCGGCGTCAGACCGCCGTACAGGCCCATGAAGCCCTCCTCGATCCAGACGACGCGGAAGCACTGCCAGAGGCCAGTGTACTTGAGTTGTCCGTTGGCCAGGGGCGCCTGTCGTAGCCTCGTTCGCGCAACCTGTTTTTGAAGTGTCAGCAAGTACATCCCGTGTAGTCCGGCGAGTGGAAATCCACCGGAGCGAGTATCGTAGGGGGCGTGCAATCATACCTCGTGGGGGTAAGCAAGAATGGCAGCGACCAACTTGGCGCCGCCAGCAGCACCAGCATTCCCCATCCAATCCACCGTCTGGTCCCAAAAGGTCTTTTCCCTTCCGCTCGCGACGATGCGCTCCTCGCGCGCCGCCAACCGGTTCTTGAGGTTCTCGTACAGCACCCACTGCAGCGTGCTCTCCGCCACGCCCAGGTAACTCGCGCTCATGCCCTTGTACATGCCCCGGACACCCTCGGTCCGCAGCACCTGCTTGATGCAGTCCCAGCTGTTGCGGTACTGCCTCTGTTGGATCCCGCCGCTCTTCTCCGCCACGTTCTTGTCGAGCTGCAGGCGGGTCTTTACGAGCCAGATGGGGTTCGTCGCCGTGCTCGTCGTCACGCCGGCCAGCACGCCCGCCGCGAGGTGGACGCCCGCCCCTTCCTCGCCGCCGTTGCCGTATTCTGCAATGAGGCGCTTGCCGTTGCCGTAGGTGTAGAAGTTTATGCTCCTCGCGGGGATGACGCCGATGAGGTTCGGGCCGAGGCCCTTGAAGAGCGCGCGGGGGCCCTCAATCTTGTAGACGGAGCCCAGGATCTGGAAGGTCTCGCGGAGGTGGAAGAGGGCGGCGCGGTAGGGGGAGAGGGTGCCGACGGCTTGGGCGCGGGCGGCGTGGGAGGCGCGGAGCTGAGCTTGGTAAAAGTCGGATTGGAGGCGGGTTTTGAGGACGTCGAGGGGTGCTGTGAGTGTTGCGGCCGTCATGCCTCCGATACTATAATGGTAGAAGTCTTGTTAGTTTTCTCTTGTGTTGCCCCCTTTGCAAAATTTCGTTCCTGTCCAAAGACCCCCTTTCAACCTTTCCTTCCAACCAGTGAGGAAAATGGATGGGAGCGTAAGAACGAAGGGAGGAGAAGAATAGGCTTGTTTTCAGACGTACCCTCCAGCAACGAAATGTACCCATGACTTTGCGAATGGTGATTCCTTCTCGCCCCCCACAGCCGGGTTCTGTTTTGCGTCGGGGATGATGTCGCCCGTCTCGCGGGACGTCGGGAACGAAGTCGTATCCGGGGCGCGGCGCGCTGCCGGCCGGTCGCCTGTTGCAGACATGAATTCGGTGGATGCGGCAGAGTGAGCCATTCAGGCGGAGGAGAGGAGGAGGAAGAAGTGTGGCGATAGGGCGATTCCAGCTGCTGTAGCAGGACAGCTTCAGCTAGCAGAAAGACGAAAGTCGATTATAAGATGTAAGAGAGGTTCACTATTCCATGCGACGAACTTTGGATGGCGAGATGGTAAAAGAGAGTGGTGGCGGTTGTTGATATCGAAGGGGAGACCGTTACGTCGAATTCATGTCGCAGGAGTTAGGTTGGAGGTGAGGGAGCGGCTCGTCATGGATGGATGGGAATCTAAGGTAGGATAGGAGCTGGACAACTTTTTTTTTTTTCCCTTATCCCCGTCCATCTGCGTAGCGTGCTTGGATACCTTGGAACGACGCGCCACGCTCAGATTTCAATCTTTGCGATCCACTTTACCCGGCGTGCCGGCTGTGACAGACTGTCTTCTTTTGGCCCGCGCTTCCTATGGCTTTCCAGTCGTTGTCATTCGTCAAAGAAGCTGTCCCCTGCTACCTTACTCTGGACCTTACCATGCTGACCTAATGTGTAGATATCCGAACACCAACTACGAACATGTGTAAGCCAGCCAGACCCTCTGACTGAGGATGCAGACAGGCCCAACATCACAGTCAAGTAATTTGACATGGCGCCAACTTGAAAGTGAGCTTACTTTATATCATTATGAATTTATCTGAATTTTTGCTTTTGTTTCCTAGGCCGCACCTCGCAATGCACTCGCACATACGCACTATACGCACTACACACATTGCACACACAAACACACACACACACACACACACACACACACACACACTCGATACGCTCTTTTCGAATTCCTGTTGCCCCTCCTATTCCCTCTTTAATAAGAGTATGGTGTTGTTGCTAAGGCGGGCCGTTCCATGGGTAAATAAGTCTTCTGCCGCAAATGGTGTCGTCTGCTGGCTCATCGCCCAACCATGCTGCTTGCGGGCGTCGAGGTAGCATCCCGCGCATCGGCTGCTGCAGTCGCAGCCGATGCCATGTGGCTGAGCAGCATATGGTCGTTCTTCAGGCTGGGCAATTGGTTTGGATGCTTCTGCTGCTCCCCGCGGTGCGGGTGTGGCTCCGGCATCCACGGCTTGTGGTTCATCGGAGGGGGTGGTTCATGCTCCACGTCCATGAAGCTGCTCGTCCTGCTTCGAGATCCAGGGTCTAAAGGTGACCGTTGGCGATGGTCCTGCTGGCCTCTGCTAGCCGGCCGAGATAAGTCTCCTCCTGGCATAAGATTCGCGGACGATGACGTTGGCGGGTGCGTCTGCGGCGGCGGCGGCTCATGGGACCGGCCGTCACGGGATCGACCGTCGTCCTGTGTCGGGTCATATTGTAATCTCCTCACCGGTGCCGGTTGGACCGGGCTCGGTTCCACGTGCGGCGCTTCGTCGGCGCTGCTGCTGGCCTCGCGATTCAGCCAGACTATCTCTTCTTCGGTAATCGTTCTCCACCCGCACTTGGCGTGCTTCTTCGTGCAGCCCTGGCAGGCCGTCAGGTGCTTGATGCACGGCGACTTGAGCCTGCGGCAGCGGTCGCACGGCGGCCAGATGTGGTCTCCTTTGTTCAACTTTTCTATCCTTGCGGTGATGATAGCCCGGTGCGGCGACGACGGGTCATACGACGGATCTCTCTGTGGCATGACGGGCGGCGCATGCACGACGACTGGGCGCCCCTGTAGGGGTAGTGAGTGCGGGTGAGGATTTGTCGCGGGCGGTGTGTGTTGGCCCGTCGAATGAGCCTGCTCGAGGCCGGCGCTGGAGGGCACCCGAGGGGGGTAGGATTGGGAAGATGACAGAAACTGCTGGAGCAGGTCTGCGTGCAGGTCGTATCCGGCTCCGTGGGCAACGTGGCCTCTGGAGTGGTTGACTGACTGAAAAGCCGAGCTGCTTCCTTGCTGCCCGCCGTGGCGCGAGTTGATTCCGGCTCTGCGGCCGCTCAAGTGGTAGTTGAGCTGTCGTGCCCTTTTAGCGATCTCATCGGCCTTTTTGATGAGAACCTGTAGTCGCTGCTCCACGATTTCCAGTGTCGCAACCTCAGCCGTCTCATCCTCTTCGAGGGGAGCCGTGGACACGACTGAGAACCTGTCCAAGGCACCGTTGATGATGAGCCGCCAGTCATCTTCCAGGATCTGGGTCTGGATGCCGTTCAAGTAGAACTGGCATGTGCGCTCGCCGTCATGTCCGGTGGTCAGAACGAACTTCTCGGGATTTGTCTTGGCAAATGTGACAATATCAAGCCAGCTGACGGGTGCCGCGCCATATTGAGGCGGTGGGTTGGTGATGATGGGGCCCTCGAAAGCTCCCTCCATGGCTTTTAGAAGACGGGGCCCGGTGAGCTTGGCGCCCAAGTTGGCCGCGAGACTCTCATGTCTATTGAGGACTCCTAGTTGTTGACCGTTGAGCATGAAGTCTCATGATATACACACAAGTTCAGAGGGGGGAAACCGTACCTTCGTACTGATTTAATAAACCAAGCACGTCCGAGAAAGTGTCAGGCTCTCCCTGAATGAGCTGGAGTCTGCCAGTACTGGCTTTGGATAGGTAATTGATGATGGATGCATTGCCTTTTTGAGTTGACAATTAGTACTAGTTCATGGGACGAGATGAGATGCAGCGCAAGCGGGTATGGCCGATGGGGTAAGATTCCATGGCACAGGACAATTAAGCATTGCCAAGGGGCTTGGAACAAGCGCGATGCAGATGGAGAGGAAGCCTGAGCTGGAGTAGAGACGGAGATGGAGACGGGATAGATGAAGTTGGGGAAACAATGAAGAGGTAGAAAACAAGGTGCGGGCGGCGCTGGCAGGCAGGCCGGGGCGAGGGATCAATGGCGAGTCTAACCTCGATTGCCTCCGGGCGCGACGACGACAACGACGAGATGCAGTTGATGGATGAGATCGACGGCTCATGTTCCTTCAGCGCATCGCGACATGTTTGCTTCTCTTGCTCTCTTTTTTTTTTTTTGTTTGGATTTGGTTTTCTTGCTGGAAACTTCGACTCTTGGATCACACACACACTGGCGCACCACACATACCTGACTGAGGCGGAGGAGGCTGGGGAATGCGATCAGAGTGAGCTGGCTGAGCGCCTCCGTCGTCTGCGTCCCGTTTCCGTTTATGGGGCTCTTGGGAATCCTGGGCATGCGCCATGGTGAAATTGTCACCGGGCAACAGACGGGAGGATCCCGTGAGGGCAAGGTGTCTTTTTTCTCTCTCTCTCTCTCTCTCTCTTTCCACCCTTCCTCGTTGCGGCCTTTGTTTCTTCTCTCTCTAAAGAGTAAGATTAACTGTAAAACAAAAAGTCGGGTGCGTGTGTGAGACGAGTTGTGATTTGGGTGGAGTGGTGTAAAGTGTATGTGAAGGCCAAAGGGCCCCGGGGCGTAATAAGAGGAATCCTGAAATCTAGGAGTTGGTTAGTTCATGGCGAAGCAGCACCTTTTGAGGTGGTGGCAACCCAGCAGACAGGGCCCCAGTGAAGTGAGGGAGGAATGCCTGAGGTAACAGAAGGGACGAGAGAGTTGGGGCTTGGGATGGAGCAAGCAAGCTTTCGAACGAAAGAGGGACGAGAGATTTCGTTGATCGAAGGGGGGGAGAGCGAACGAGGCCGGAGAGCCAAGAAAAGACGGGGGGAGAGGAGGAGGGTTGGAATCGGGGTTTCGCTCAGGATTTGTACGGGGGGGAAACGGGGGACGTGGTCGGGGCCACAGGACGGGGGCTGGCTGGGAACTGGGGCGGAACTCGGGAGGAGGAGTACTCGTAGGAAACAGGCGTAAGGTAGGTGTACGGAGTACCTCAGGTGGGAGAGAGGCAAAGTAAGGCGAGACAAGGGAACTCGGGTACCTTAACGTACCTTAAGTTAAGGTAAGGTAGGTAGGTTACTTACAAGCACAAGTAGGTAGGTAGAGGGCGGATGGACAGGGTGACGGGATGAGAGAAAGAGAGACCGTCCAGGCAAGTATGTGCTTGCGCCGTGCGCGTGAGAGGGAATATGAAGACCCAGAGAGTAAGGCAAGGCAAGGGTAAGGTAGGTAAGGTAGGTAAGGTAGGTAAGGTACGTGAGAGTGATGGAGTTGGGACGGCTTGGAGGACGGGACGGGGAGAGAGGAGGAGAGGAGAGAGAAAGAAGAGCGGACGGCGGGTACAGCTGCAGAGGCGAGTTTACGGGCCAATTGCCCAATGACAAGGGGCAAGCAGGTGCCGAGTTCCCACCGCAAAGCCGCAAAATCCCAAATTGGTTATGTCGTGTGTCGGCATGAAAGTGAGGTGAGTGAAATAGAGAGTGAGAAAGAGTAGGTACCGTACCTCTGGATGTGAGACCCCCGGTTGAGGAACTAGGAGAGACACGTCGGAACGGGAGTTTTGAAGAGTGGGCTTCCCTTTTTCGCAACGGGGGGGAGAGGGGCGGCACCCGTATGAGTCGGGCCGGCGAGTGTGTGTATGAGAGTGACTAGGCAATGGAAGTGAGTGAGTGAGAAAGAGAGGCGAGAGGCGGGATGCTAAGGCAGAGTGAGCGGTAGCCCAGGCGCGAGGTGAGGTGTGTGTAAGGTAAGGTCAAGTAAGGTATGTGTGTGTGTGTGTGTGTGTGTGTGTGTGTGTGTGACGGTGGACGGCTGGGAAAATGCAGTGCAGGACCGCAATGGAAGGCAAAGATGCGGTGCAGCAAGGGCGGAGGGGAGTTCCACTAAACGGATGGGGCCGGGGGTGGGAGAGGGGACCCGGCGTCCTTCTTTTTTCGTTCGTCGGGAAGGGAGGGAGCCTAAAAAGCTTGGACTGACGGAACCCGTGGACACCTCAGTTTTCCCATGTACGGAGAGTCTAAAAAGGACTGGACACTCAACTCAGTAGTGCTGTGTACGCCGGTACGGATAGAGGGTGGGTGAGCTAGTGAGTGTGTGAGTGAGTGAGAGAGAGAGAGGGAAAGAAGTGGAGGGCCAGGGCAGGGCAGGGTCCCCCTCTTGGGCGTAAAGTGTGAGGTGTGAGAGGCGTGAGGCGTGAGGCGTGAGGCGTGAGGCGTGTGTAAGTGAGATTGAGATGAGGAGGATTGGTGGAACTTGAGCGGGAAGCAGCGCAGCGCAGAGGCAACGGCTGCCGGGAGTAGGTTGGGAGCTACAACAGCTCCTAGCGTGGCATGAAAGGTGCGAGACAAGATGAGGTAGGCAGGCGATGGATGAACCGAGAGATACCCGACTGGTAAGATGTATCCGTATGGGCTGTGGTTACCTTGAGGCAGGTGAGATAGAGTGAGTTGAGGTTACGTGAAATACGCCAAGCCAAGGCAGCGGAACGTGGTGATGATGCGTGTGTGGACTAGGGTGCCAGCTCTCAGAAACGCAGCCCGCCCCGGTTCCCAAACACGCACGAAAAGCACCACCCCAAAGCCCCAAAAGAGCAATTAAATTGACAACCAAGCATTCTGGTGGGGGTCACACCACCGGGCTGGTTTGGACTGGACTGGATCCGGGGCTGTGTGCAGAGGCAGGCCGTCTGTCTCTGTCCGTTGAAGAAGAAGCTATCCTGTGCTTGTGCAGTGGTTCAGTGGTTCAGTGGTTCGGCCCATATAAGACGGCGTAATAGGGAGTTCCCGGCGATGAGTTTTTTTTTTTTCCTGGTGAGCCTTTTTTGCAATCTTTTTTCTTCTTTCTTCTCCCCGCCGTTCCTTTGGTTGCCTCTTGAGTTTCCTTGGATCTTGACCCGTCCATAAACGCAGCTTGTCCTATACGAGCAAAGTGGGAAATTTCAAAACGGATGACAGCGAACTGTGTACGGGGGTGGCGCTGGGACCCGGCGCAGACATGTCGTATAAAGCAATTGAGCGACTAATATGAGGATAATGAGGTAAGATTGAACAAAAGAGCAGGCCGTTTCCCGCTTGTCGTCCGTCTCCTTATGTAAGACCGGCAGCCCTATGAAGGCTTGGAAGCTGAGCAGTCCGGCTCAGTGAACCGAAAAGGTCGGGTTCGGGGAGAATGCGCAAGCAAATAATAGTTCCAAGGGATCGGCAAAGCGGCAAGGTTTGATCGCAAAATTTAAGCAAAAAAGGGAACCTGACTTTTTGAGACCGAGGTGCCCACCCGCGACATAGAGTTAGAAGAACGTCTTGATGCCGGGACATAGTTGATGCAGGATATTGGACGCCGAACACAATCAATACGAGCGGGGAACAAGCTGCCAGGCTTTTTCAATCAAGGCCCATGGCCCATGGGCCCCAAAAGAGCCGGCTCCAGCCTGGTGCAGTGCACAGCCTGGAAACTGGGGAAATGGAGGAGCCAACCGGCCAGTCGGCATTGAGTGTTTCGAGAGGAGAGGAGTAGCGGGCGGGAAGAAGGGGGGCCCATCTGTGTGAGACTGTGAGTCTGTGACTGTGAGACAGTGATTGATGAATGACAAAGTGAGTTGTCCAAGGAGGAATGGAATGGATAGATGAACAGACGACTAACAAGCTTGAGACACCGCCCACGCTGAACATGAGACTCGGTCGGAAAAATGGGCTGCCGGGTGGGAATCTCGGAGGGAGGAGCGCACCGTAGATCCTCACTTGCCCAACTACCTTGCCGGGACACCGAGACTCGAGAGTACTTCGTACACCACCTACCTTTCTTTTGGTGTACAGAGACAGACACCCGGCGCAGACAAGGCACAGAAACGAGAGCGACACCTCAAGAAACAAGAAACAGAAACAAGACAAGAGAGAGAAGACACGCCGCACCACTGAGTCCTGACAACCACCCACCCCTTTCTTTTCCGTTGCATCGCATCTGTGATCTGACCCTGACCTCGAGCCTAGTATCCAATACCTCCCACCCCCCGGCGAACCGGCACGTCGCGTTAGAGCATCCCATCTTTCTGGGTTGCCGTCTTACCCTGGCGTGTCCCGACTTACACGGCGTGACGGCGCACGCACAGCACTTGACAGACAAACGGCAAGCGACTCGCTACCTCGCCTGGCAAGCCTAGCTCTCCTGGGATTTGTTTGACGGCGGACGGGGTGGAGGGGCGGAGCAAGGCCCTCTTGGTCCTTAGTAAGGTACGACGTTACCAAAGATGAACTAGACGGAGGGAACCCGCGCGCCCGCTGGTCGATTCGCGCGCCCTGGGCCATGGCACCGCGGGCGTCCACCCTCTACGCAGTGCGCAGTACCTGGTACAGGTAGCCCATCCGTTGATGGAACTTTTCTAGAACGAAAATGCTAATGCTAAACAGAAATCCAGACAAGGGACGACGGTGGGTGGGAGAGAGAAAACACGGAGACCCGACGTTTGGGAAGCTTTGATCTCTTTCGGACGGAGCGGAACGCGAGGAACGCACTACCTACTCCAGAAACCTACGCCTTTCCCTGCTGGTTTCTCTGTACTCCGTACGGAATAAGGTACCGGCGTTAAAAGCGAGACTTGAGGTCGGGGACCCAAAGTATCGCCAATCTATAAACTCCTCTTCATCCTCACCCGGGATGCCTGTCAACAAACCAAACCCCGTCTTGTTTCGGGGCGACTCAAGCGGCCCCTCAGCATCGCAGAAACATGACTTTCGCCCCCCCGCCCAAGTACCTTGCATACACAGCAAGTATCCATAAAGTCCTGGACTAGGTGCGAATATGCATCGCTCGCAGGCCGGCACTCAAAGGCCCGCGCAAACCAACTCTAAAAGGCCAATGAATGAGATCATCTTCAACCGCAGTCTCATCTGCCCACGACGCTTCTAATTATGTCTAATCGCACATGGTCGATCGCATCCCCTCACCCTCAAACATCACTTCGAGTCGTTATAAAACCAAACCAAGCCAAACGTTTCCCGACTTAGCAGCCCCCATCCCTCCCATGTGGCATGAACCACTTACCGCGCTCCCCCCTCCTTCCCACGCGACGCACGTGCAGAAATTCCAGGGACGGACGACCGGCTGGGATGTAACTCGCTCCGACAACTGATGGGCAAAACAACTACCTTATTTTTGGGCCTGTCAATGTTTTGGAATAAAAATTGAGCAGCAGTTGCCACTAGCCAGCAGCCAGCGGCCCCTCTCCGCTCGCTCGCTTTCGCAGATCGGTTTGGTTTCCCTTTCGTCCTTGGAGGGTGGGAAGGGGGGACCGCATCTTGAATGTCACACACGCACACATCACTACGCAGTACCCCGGTACCCAATACTCCTCCCAAGTTGATTCGACATGGAAACGGTCCTCGCAGCCCGTCGCCTCCGAGATTCTCTCACTTTGGCATTGCTCAACTGCATCTACTTCACAGGGACTTTGCAGGGAGGCAGAGTGGTCAGTAGGGCGGACAGGCTTCGTAACCGCGGTACGTGGCCCCCATCTGCAGAAGAGAACGCCGACCAAATGTCGGAGGAGGAAGACGAATGGGATAGTAGGGGCGTAATTTCAACAACCTCGGGAATTTGCCAACCAACTCTGGACTCCCCGATTCCCACTTTATGGCCCTGAACCAAAGATCTAATGTAGCGGCGTAATGATGCGTTGTTTCCCGCTCCGTTGGGGGTGCTCTGGTTGCCCATCAGTATCATCGGGGGTGGCGCAGAGGGCAGTGCCAAGACATTTTGGAAATCACCAACGGAACACGCGCCAGGATTACTTCTCTTACAGGAACTTACACCACAGTATGAAGTAAATCGCTCACTTACCCAACCTCCCTCCCCCTTCCACCCCCGGTTCGATGATTCCATCTCTTTCCTGGGGTTCGTCCAACTTAGACAAAAGGGAAGAGAAGCTGCACAGCCTGCCTGGTTGATCGGTTCGATTGGCCTTGGTATACCTACGGATACCGGTTCACAAATCATGGCCCCCATGGTGTGTCGTCACTTACACGGGCTGGAGCTAAGCCCGCAGTCGTATTTCAACGACGACGCGCGCTGCGAACGTATCAGCGCCAAGGCGTTTCGACTCGAGCGTTGCGCGTCGTTTGCTGCAAAGTCATCGGTCTTTTCGCCGATCCCAGAAGGAACCCCAAGAAAGAACGGAAATTAGATTTTCTGGAATCTTCACTGGTTCATAGTGATGGTTATTGGGTCCTTTTTTTTCTTCCTTGCGGTGTAAGTATGGATGCGGATAGGCAGCAGTATTTTCCTCCCCGTTACCGAAACTTAATTTTTCTCGGTAACGCGGCTACGCGGCTTTGAATCGAATGATCTATGTTTATTCTTTGTCATTATTCGGACTCGATATGTCTCTTTTCGGTACGGATACTGAGATGCCTGACACTTGACATGGTCTTCTTGACGTTGTCTTGAGACGGCGCGACGGCAAGACCAGCTTCCCGCACAAAAGGAAGGGTTTCATTGGGGCTCTCTGGTGAGTGCCGAGAAAGTATTGGTGAATGGTAGGCAAAATGCGTCGCGTGACCATCGATGGGATGCCCCGAATCGCCAAAAAAAAAAAAAAAAAAAAAAAAAAAAAAAAAAGGCGAATGAGAAGAATTCATGTTTCGAGGAAATAGTGATCATGTGCAACGTTGAAGCAATGTTGTCGCCCAAACCAACAAGGACTTGCAAAGATACCTCAAATTGCTATTTGAGCACCATTCTCAGTTGGAAACTATGTACTTGTATGCAAAAGCACCAAAGAAGTAAAGAAATCTCTGTTCTCATCCTCCCCGCGACATATGCAAACCGCTATTTGCAGTTTTCTTGAGTTCCTTTCTTTGCCTTTTCTACAGATAGGAACCGCACACTTGTCCCGTCCCGTCCTCCACGGGCAGGTCGAACGAAAAACCCGCGCCCCACCAATCACGGAGCCCGGGCCTCTCAACGGCGGGGAGGGGGAGAGAGGAAGGATGGAAAGACGCAGGCCCGCCCCACCATGGAAGAAGCCCGGACCAAGCTCAAGCTCATTTTCCTAATCCACCGAACCGACCGACGACCTCACCCTAGCCTTTTCGGCCAGCAATCCCAGCCCCAAAAAACCCAACGATCTCGACGACGTCACCCCCGCGAACAGAAGAAACCTCGTCGAAGAAGAAGGCGAATTCCCATAACCGACTCATCGAAGAGCTATTATCGAGTTTGACGGCGCATTACTACACATCCCCCTCCCGATACCGGCAAGGCCTCATCACCGCGCTTACCCCCCTTCCAAACAAACGCACGACACGACACGACACGACATAACCCGGCGCGCGCAATGGCGGATAGAGGCTCACACAGAGGCGGCGGCCGAGGAGGAGGAGGAGGAGGAAACTACCGCGGAAGGGGAGGAGGTCGCGGCGGCGGCGGTGGTGGTGATCGAGGCGGTGCCCAGGGCTCGGGCGGCGAACGCGAGAGGCCCAAGAAGGAGAATATCCTCGACTTGTCAAAGTATATGGACAAGCAGATTACTGTCAAGTTCAACGGCGGACGCGAAGGTTCGTTTACCTCTCCCTGTCTTGCTTTCTCAAGATCTATTCCTTGGTGCTTTTGCACGAGGACCTTTGTGGTAATTATATCGTACCGATTGCTAAAAACTTTTTGGGAACATCTACAGTCACTGGAACGTTGAAGGGATACGATGCGCTGATGAACCTGGTGCTGGATGAGGTCCAGGAAGTCATGAGAGGTACGTGTATCTTCCGCCCAGTGCAAACCAGAAGGGAAAGAGGGGAAGGGGGGGAAACCCGAAGTAGTTTTCACGGCTAACAAGAAGAAAACACACAACGGATAGACGAAGAAGGAAACGAAACAACCAGGTCCCTAGGCCTCATCGTCGCCCGCGGAACCCTGCTCGTCCTCGTCAGCCCCGTCGACGGAAGCGAGCCCATAGCGAACCCGTTTGCGCAGCCCGAGGAGGAATAATTTGGGTGTTATGGAGAGGAGTAGTTCAGGGGGTTAGATTTTTCTGTTTGGAAAATTCCCAACTCCATGTTTGTGAGAGGAGGGGGGAGGACTCGCGCCCCCGCCCCCCCACGGAACGCTCTATCAACGAGGCATCAGAGCTGGACGGTTAACGCGCGACCTGGCTGCGGGGATGTATGGGCAACGCGAGATCGCAGCCCTTTCTTGCAGCTTGTATGCATACATCGGCAGGAGGACATGAATTGATGATGGCATATCACAAATTCCCAGATAGAAAACCCGGAAAAAAGAGGGGTGGGAAGGTATGGCGCAGATACCATGACGACAGCGGGAACGGCAGGGCTCATTGCACCTCGGATACCTTGCCTCACCTCATCGTGCACGAACAAAATGAATGAAAAAAGAGATTTATTTCGTTACTGTTCTTGCCCGCATTCGTACCCCATCTAACTGAGTCCCTACAGTCAGCGAGACCACTCACTCTCCTTTCTCTATTCCTCCCCCCCCGCTGTTCCGCTCACTTCGAAGGCTCCTATACGCTCCTCTTATACCTTCGGACCTGGCAGGCAAGCGATGATCATCTCGCATCCACTCATCATCTCACGCGCCGTTCCAACCGTGCATCCGTAGTCCAACGTCTTAAACCAGCGCGGTTCGTTCTTCACACTCCGTAATAGTTTCTCGCGTCGTCTGAAGCGCAGCCCCGTACATTGTAATCCAAGTACGCTGAAGCCTCGTTCCCCGTCCTTTCATGATTGTGATTTCGATCCTTGTCGTACCCGTGGTAGTCGCAACCCTCCCCGCTCTAGTGGGAGGTACCTTGGAACCCTCGGTTCGATGTCTGTTTCCCTGCCTTGAGGAGCTCCCCGAAAGCGTTGCCGAGCTGCTTCTTCAGCTCCTTATAGCTGATGACAAAGCTCGTCTGCTCGTCTCGGCTCGTAAGACAGATTCGGTCGTCACTACCGGCGTCCAGTCTGTTCAGGCATCGAATAATGTGGCCCATGTCCACCACAGGATTCCCGTTCGCGTCGACCTGGTGAAAGACGTAGTCCCGGAATAGTCTGAGCATGTATCGCTCGCCATTTTCTGACCAATTCCTGTCGCCGTCGAATTCCTGCCGTTCGTTGACGGCCCCAAGCTTGGCCATCAAACGCACGATGCGGCCGTTTTCTAGTTCGCGGAACAGATCCGACTTCAGGGCGTCCGCTTCCTGTAAGCTGGCATCTAGCGTGGCAACCATGTGGACTGCGATGCCCCGGACAAACTCTTCTATACCCTTCGGCGCGGCACCAGCAGGAGCGGGGGTCAGAAGCCACAAGACGGTATCGGTGATTTCTTTTGAGTAAACCCTGCTCATCTGTTCCATGGACCCTTTGAGATTTGTGAGCTGATTCGGCGGCGTGTTAGTGGCCAGTGATAAAATGAGTTTGCCGAATTGAATCAAGTCCTCCTGTTGCAGCTCCTGAACCGGGCGACGATTGTCGAACTGAACAACATCCAGGATGGAGCAAGCACTAAGCCGGATGCGATTCTTGTCCGTCACGATGACCTTGCTCATATCGAGGCATCTGGCAGCCAGATTTAGTGTGTGGATAGCCTTCAACGCATTGGCTATTTGGGAAATGTAGCCCCACAGAACGCTTTCGGTTATGGGATTCTTTGCGCTGAAGCGGGTGCCATGGGTGGAGGCCGGTTGGGAAAAGTGAAGTTCGGCAAGTGTCTTAGAGAGGGGATGGTAGTCTTGTACGAAGAATAGGGAACTGTCGCCAAAGGCTCGAGTGGTGAAGGCGTCGTGAATGCCCACCACGTTGCCGTTGTTGAGCCTTCGCCATTCCTTGACAGAGCGAATGGCTTGTTCGTTGGTTAGTCGGTAACCTATTCTGCGTTAGTAATGTCCAGGAAAGGCTTCGCTGCATAGCATACCCTCAAGCCGTCTGAGGCAGTATGTTTTGCCATTCTTCGAGGATGTAGCCTTGTACACCCATGTGGTGAAGCCAAAGACGCTAGAGCTCTTCCTATGACTGGTGTCAAGAGGAACAAGGGAGTAGTAGTTGTCTAACGGAGGTAGTGTCGAGTCTATCGCAGTATTAGATATTTGTACACCTGTGGTTCATTTCATAGCTTACTTGGCATAACCTGCTGCAAAGCCTCGGACTTGCGTTGCATTTCCTCACGCAATTTCTCAGGTAAGAAGAAGTCGTGAATTTGCCTTTGGAACGGCATCAAGTCATCTCTATACGGCCCAACGGGTGCGTACAAATGGTATTGCAGCTACAGAGCGTCAGTTTTGGCACGCACAGCTTCTACAACGCGTTCTCTTACGGGTTGAAGGGGGGCTGTGTAAGCATTTTGATGTTGGAAGTAGGCCCCTGAGCCAGCGAGTCCGGTAGGATCGTCGGCATAAGGGTTGAAAGGTGTGGCCGGTAATGTCTGGCCAACGTTGGGCATAGTAAAGGGGTCAAAAGAGAGCCCTGTCTCGGAGGCTGAGCCATTGGCAGTGATCTAACTCAAGGTCAGCCTTGTATCTTGTATGAGGTACAGTCGTTCTTACACCAGTACTCAACTCAAAGTTTGATGGGGTGAATTCTCGAAACGTGGCGGGGTTAAATACTGTGGACGCAGCTTCTCCATCTGGAGCGGCGGCTGGCGTCGCAGCTGTGAAGAAATTAGATGAGACAGCCCGCGATACAACGTGGCTCTTAACATACAGCCTGCCCCTCTAGGAGTAAAGACGGCTGCACTAGCAGCCTGAGAGGAAAACGTTGATTTCTTCGAAGAGTTGCCTATCGCATTTGAATTCGGGGATGCCACCGAGGGTAAACCGGCGGGTGTGAATGAAGGTGAGTCGACATTGAGGGCCTTTCTCGCGCTACAAAGTCCAAATGTTAGCTCTCTACGAACATGGCCTGCGGTGTGAGTTTGATGGTTTTCCGGAATCGTCAATGCTCCTCGGGTTCGTGGTCTACGTCTCATCCTCCATGGCGCTCTCCAATTCCATGTCACATTTCTGCGACCACAGCCTCGGTCCACACCGACCATAAGATAACTAATCCAAGTGCCACGGAAGCTTTGCTGCCTATCACGATGCGGATCCGAGCCGCTCGGCGTGACTTCATCCTTGATTGGGGTTCAAACGGTCCAACTCCTCTTTCTACGCGACGCAAGCCTCAGTGTCGAGACGTTCGGTCTGCCACTAGGCTCGCTTGATACACGTGTCGCCGGAGTCTGATTGCGCTTTTGGTCCTGTGCCATGGCCTCTACAACCATGGCGCTTTCTTTACCTCCAGCAGAAAAGCATCAGGCTTCGATAGGGAACATTGGCAGCTCTCGAGCACTTTGAACAGGTTGTTCGACCACGGGTGTCGATCATGATAGCGGAACGGATCTGGACGGTGACCTACAAATCAGACTGGTTGCTCTGTCCCCCGGGACTGTTCTGGACCGAGTTGGATCGATTCTGGTCGTGGTTGAAGGCGCAACCGGTGTTCTCGTATCGGCAGTGTCCGTATATCATTACGTTTCGGCATAATGTCTCTTTGTTTTCTAAGCCAATTGACAAGACGTCAGCTATCCTGTGACGGCAACGTGGTTGGAAAAGCGGCATGCGCGTTGACTCGCCTCGGATCTTGGGTTTCGGCGACCCAACTTGTCGACGGAGGTCGGACTGGGGGTATCGCGAGGTGGCCATGATCAGTAGTTTCGGTGGAAGAAAGTTTCGCCCCCTTGGTCGACGTTACGACGTCTGCACAGAGTCAGCCAAATCCAAAGCCCATGATCGAGTAGTCGTCGAGGTCGTTCTCATGGTTTGGACGCGCGCGCGCTGGGTGTGGACGGGGGGGAATTCAGGACTTGCGCTGTCTGAGCGGGGTGGAGAGAAGACAAAGGCGGGCAAAGAAGAAGGACTGGAGCTCGCGTGGGGCCTGGCGCGAAGCCGGACTGGGGGGGAGGACATTTTTGGGCAGACGCACTTGATCCTTGCAGACCTTTGCCATGGCTCGAACACGTTTGGTGGGGTAGGTGTCTCGATCATGGACACGATGCCGTGCACCAGGCGAGGGTCGAGGTTTCGAGGACGACGGCAGATCAAATTGGCGGATGATGCAAGGCGACGGGATGCAGTCGGAATAAGGTCCAGTTGAGATAGTACCTTAGGTAAGGCGAGGTGAGGTAGAATTCAAGTATGCGCGCGCCGTATCTGTACTTAACGGGGAGGATGCGTACGGATATGCAAGCCCAGCGCAGGAAAGGCGGGAGGGACCAGGAAGGAAAGAGGGAAGGAAAAAAAAAACAGGGACCGGCGACAATGGCGGCGACGGGCGGCGGAGCCAAAGTGGTGTATGTAGGTGGGAGACAGAGAGGTCAGATTTGCTACCGCGCGGCCAGGAAATGAACCTGGCAGGCTGGCACAGAACACAGGAGCGGGAGTTGGCGGTGCGAGCGGAGGTTAGGCCTGAAGCCGGAGAATCGGTGGGTGGGAATGGAACCAACCAAGTCAAACCAACTTGGGTCCAAATACTGGGAGGGGGGACGATGACACACCCTCGCGACATTCAAACCGCTAAAAGTCAATGCTCTAGCTCTACTAATCGACATTCGTGGTGGGTAGGTGAACGCGTTGGATTTGGCCGTGGAAGTATGTCATTTCCACAATATCCGAGCGATAATAACATCAAGGTTAGACTGGCCTTCATTAAGTGCATTAGGTATGTCACTCCATCCAGTCCAACGTTCTTTCACATTACCTTACCTCATTACAACAAATTTCAGGCTGTCGTAAGGTTGGCATCACTCGCTCACAAGCTCATAATACCGGTATGCATTGCAGGAATTCGGGCCTGCTGTAAGCATCATGAAGTGAAGTACTCACGGAAATGTATCAACATTTGATGTGGGAATGAGAGGAGACTGGTCAGCTCATTCCCATTCCGCTGACCACTTTACATCAAGAAAATTTAGAAAAAATGGTATGGAAAACAATCTCGCCTATTGGATATTTTGAAGATTTCGAGAACTCCAGCACTGCTTCACGGTGTTTGTAGCTCGGGGACGATCCTGTAGGTGTCCGAACACCACTTGCAGGCGTACTTCACATCACGGCGGGGCTATGCACCTATCCGACAGCCTCCCCTCACTGGGTAGATGCAATTGCCATGTGTCCTGATAAGCGGTAAGGTATACTCTTTGTGGCGTCGCGGTCGCGATTCGTCGCGCAGACGCCGGCAGTAAGGCACAGTACGGAGTACCTCATGTACCTTGCCAAGCCCTTGCACATCCGACCTCCGTCCACAGACAAGTGTCGTCACCAGGCAAGACACTCGACAATCAGCTGCGACTAGCGGAGCATCTCAGACACTCGGTCACTTGCTTCTAACGCATCCAGCCTCTCGTCAATGAGCTGCACCAAAGCCCAAATCCGCGCCTTTGATTCTTGAACTTGTCCCTCCATTCCCTCAGTAGAAACAACTCTGGTGTTTTCCATTCTAATGTCAAAGCATTCGACCTCTGGCTTTTTATCACGACATTGGCAGGCTCCTACAACTACCACGGAAGTGTCGTTCTCCGCTACCTTGCTTAGCCACGTTGCTCTTAGCTATAACCAAACCAGCCCACCTCCGCCTTGGGTTGGACTCCTTCCACAACGTCAACCTGCTCAACCAACTACTCCATGGACCACTGAGTCTGCACTTGGACTTTCTCCACATCGTCACTTCGACATACTCGGCAATCTTGACTTTGCGTGCAGCACCAACCGACAGCATGGCGGAGAGCGGAGACGTAGACTTGGGACAGCTGTCTGCAAGTCAGCAAGAGTCCCTCCAGCAATACACAAGTGTCACAAATCAGGAGCTCAAGGATGCGATACCGCTGTTGCAGCGATCGCAATGGAACGTCCAGGTAAACTTCGCATCACAGTATTAGCCGGCTTACGAACCATACTGACTGCTTTGGCTACAGATCGCCATCGCCAAGTTCTTCGACGGCGAAGGCCCTGATCCTGTCGCGGAGGCAATGGCACAGGACATTCCTCGGACAGAAGCGCGGCACGAGAACCTTCAGGAGAGTCTGCTTGCCTCTGCGGGTCGTCCACCCGCTCCTCGGAGAGATCGACCCGACCCCGCGCCGCGAATCGTTCCTCAACCGAATACAGTCCACCGTCCGCCATTCCTCATCGGGCTGCTTCTGGCGCCTTTTAGCATCGGTTACAGCATCGCATCCAAGGTGTTCCGGACCATCTTCTACCTACTCAGCTTTCTTCCCCGACAGATCCGGCCACGAGCCATCACAAGCGGACCGGGAAATGGACTGCGGAGTACCAACGGGCGCCGAATGCTTATGCCTCGGGACACGGCTGCGCGTTTCAAGCGCGAGTTCGAGGAAGAGTATGGAAGCACCGAATTGCCCTGGTTCGAGGGCGGGATCGCTCAGGCACAAGATCTGGCCAAGAAGGAACTCAAATTCCTACTGGTCGTTCTCATGTCACCCGAACACGACGACACCGAATCATTCACGAGGGAAACTCTGTTGAACCCGGATGTGGTCAGCTTCATCACCGACCCGGCGAACAATGTCATTCTGTGGGGCGGTAATATCCTGGACTCGGAAGCGTACCAGGTTGCCCAGGAATACAACTGCACGAAGTACCCATTTTCAGCAATCGTCTGCCTCACGCCAAAGGAAGGAAGCACTAGAATGAGCATCATCAAGCGACTTGCTGGCCCGATGCCGGCTACTGCGTACCTTTCAGAAGCACAGACCGCTATCAACAAATACGCACCGGATCTCGCAGGTGTCCGAGCAGAGAGGACTGCACAAGAGGTGGCGCGCAGCTTACGAACCGAACAAGATACTGCTTACGAACGATCGCTGGCTAAGGACAGGGAGAGAGCGCGACAGCGGCGCGAGGCGGAGAAGGCTGCGGCAGAAGCTGCACGCAAAGCCGAGGAAGAGGCCGAGGCTGCGGCAAGGCGCGAGGAGCTCGGCGACAAGTGGAAGCGCTGGCGGGCGACGACGATGGAAGACGAACCACCAGCGAGCAACAAGGATGTGGTACGGATTGCGCTGAAGATGCCAGAGTCGTCCGGCGCCGGAAGGATTGTGCGCCGATTCCGCAACGACACCACGATGGAAACACTATACGCTTTCGTGGAGTGTTACAATGTGTTGACGGCATCAGAAGAAACACCAGAAAAGGCCGCTGTCAAGCCCGATGGCTACGAGCACGAGTATCAGTTCCGCATTGCGTCTGTCATGCCCCGGGTTGTGTACGAGCCCAGCAAGGAGGAGACGATGGGACAGAAGATTGGACGGTCAGGAAACCTGATCGTGGAGGAAGTGTCGGCCGACGGCGAGTCAGACGACGGTGAAGAATACTCGTCGTAGATGGAGCAAGTACGACCAAGGGCATCTGATCAAGCAAGTGTAGGATGGCACAAGATAGACAAACATTAGTAGAAAACCGCGCCATCTTGTACGCGCAGTGACCGGGCAGCCAATAACAACTATCATGTTGCGTGTATTGAGGAAATGTTGTCAGCAAGCTGCAGGATATAATAGCCTCTTATCGCCGAAAGCTAGCCGCGGGAGCCGTCTGTCCATCCTGGGTAAGGCGAGGTAAGGTAGCCATCAGCACGAGGCCGTGAAGAGCTCAAAATGGGCAACGACGTTGGCGCGGGAGGCAACCTGATGATGTACATATCATCGCCAGGTATCCCCACAGGTCGACGGGAGGCCGACAGACAAAAGAGTGTGTACGGAGTACACCGCGCGCGATGCAGTAGGTCCCGTGGCGCTGTTTGGCCTTACACGTACGTGTTGAGGGTGTTGCTGCTTGCGTGGATGAGTGAGGCTGTGCAGGGACGACAGTGCAGACCAACACTTGGCTTGCCGGGCCGTGGGTTTGGCAGTTGAAGTATCTGGAGCTTGGCTGTAAAGAGGTCAGGGGCACAGGTGAAGAGGTTGATTGTTGTCGGTTTTCCATAATCATAATAAACAAAAAGATCAAAGACACACAGTTTGTTTAGCTTGGTGTTTATGTTGATACGAGATGCCATTATTGAAGGAACAAATTGCCGTCCGATCATCTGCGGGAAAAAGACCCTGAATTATGGCATGAATGTAGAATAGACTGTCGTACCCGCCCGCATACGCCAAAATGGGGGGATGTCTCTAGTTAATGCGACCCCCAATTTTTGACGTGGTCCTCTCCAAATAAAGTAGAACCCGAACCAAAGAATGGAGGTAAACATTCCAGTAACATTGTGATGCGTACTATGGATCTGGGGCACATCTGGCAGCTAGCTACCTTGAGCCGAGAATGCTAGAGTCTTGCGAGTCATCTCGAGTAAGGCAAGGTCTGAATAACATCAGTTACAAAACCTAAGTCTGAAGCGAGAGACTCGGATGATTAGGATTTGACGAGGAGGATTACTCCCGTCTGGACGGATTCGCGAGGAAAGGGCCAAGGGAATGTTTGGTTGGCTTAGATGGTTTCGAGGTCCCCATCTCCAAGCTGCGAGATACGTACCGGGGCGGTGATCGGTGCAAGGTCTCCCCAGGCACTGCCGTCTTCTCTGGGGCCTCTGGGCCTCTTGCGCATCACTTTTTGCCATCCAAGTCGTCGTCATGCCTGCTCCAGACTCGACGCCGCGACACCGTACCTGGTCTGAACAACTCGCCGCAGCAAAAGATGCGACGAGCATACCTTCATCGGCTCAAGCCAAAGCGAAAACCTTTCCTTCCATTGCCCTTCTCTCTCTTCGTTCGCATACGTTCGTCCTGATCTGACGCATCCAATACACATTGCTCGCTCCAACCAACAACGACAAGATTACAAGGGTCTCTAACAGCGTGCTGGAAACACTGATATCTTCCTGTGCGCCCATTGTCGTTTCTCGTTAACACCGGACACCAATACACGACAGGACAGACCCCTTGGTCTTCCCCCTCTTACCAAACGAAGCGTCTGCCCAGGCCCGAAAACAAACCGACCATCAGCCACACTCATTTGCGCCATCCTCCACGAGATAGATCCCAAGAACCGCTATCTACTGAGTATCAAGGTTATTCAAAGCCACCGGCAGGCAACGTCCGGCATTCGCAAGACCAAAGACTACCGCCGCCGCCGCTACGTGACCTCTACCCCGAGCCGCGGTCAGTCACTCTTCTCGCACCACGCACTCGGAGAGGCGCAGACAAGCCCACTCGACCCGAACCCTTGCCAGGCGCCGCCGTCTCCCTCTTCTCACACGCCGAGACGCTCGACACTTGCGGCGTTCCAATCACCCCGCCAAAACTTCTCCAACGGTCCAAGAGACCAGATACCGCACTACGCACCATTACAACACACGCTTAAAAAGGACCCCGTGGACGGTGGACCAACGCGGGACGGCGGGCTGAGGTTTAATTTAAAATAACCCCCCAGTTCGTCTGGCCCATTCGACCTTGCCTTACCCTTCCCCTCCGAGCGTCACTTCCAGGCTGCAGCTCAACTAGGCCCTGCGTATCCGTACCTATTTCTTCCAAACTCCCGCCGATTGCCTGCAACCCACGCCCCCAAAACATACGCGCACAGCTTCCCGCATTGCTGTCATTCCATTCACCGAACCTTAACCCCTTCCCACAGACAATCCGCCCATCGTCCATTTACTTCAGTTTGTTCACGGCCGCCTTTGCGATACCTTCCGACGGTTATATCAACGTCTCTCTCGAACATCCGACCACTCCGCTCCGACTCGGACGCTCTTCCCCTTTGTCCGCTCTAGGACCCCCGGATCCGTGCTCCCGACGCAAGTCTCCTGTTCCCTCGCGGCTCAGCGCTCCCCCGCCCGCCGGTTCCACGACCGCAAAGATGAAGGCCATGAAGGGGCTTAGTGTGAACCGGATGATGAGTACGCTCAAGAAGCGAACGACGAACAGTGAGTAGAACCCGCCGCGCAACCAATCCCCTCGACCATCTGCGGGTTGATCGCGAATGAAGTGCTGATCGTGGTCTCTCTCCACCAGACTTCGGTGGATCTAGCCAAGTGTCGGCGTCGGCAGCAGACCCGCAGAACGAGACGCCTGAAGCTACAGCTGCCCGTAGCGTGGTATGCAAGATCCAGCCTTCTCTACGCCGACGATCATAGCTGACGTAGTGTTCAGAAACAATTCTGCGAATCTGGAGGCCCCAATGCTCAGGTATATACTTAGTCGGGACAATTTCGTGATCGCACGGAGCTGCCTGCTAACAGAATGTCTAGGGCGATGAAGTCCTCTACCTCCCGCCCATTGTCGATGCCGCTGAGTCTTCTCCGGCCGCCGCCGCCGAGTGCGCGCGCATTATTCGGAAATACCTGGCCAAGGACAACCACGCCAAAGCCTCGTGGCAGTACAATGCCATCATGCTGATTCGCATTCTTACCGACAATCCCGGTCCCACGTTCACGCGCAATATGGACAAGAAGTTCGCCGATACCGTCAAGGAATTATACCGTACTACGCACGATCCCAGTGTCAGACAGATGCTGTCTGAGACGTTGGATACCTTTGAGGCTACCAAGTTTGACGACCAGGGTCTGGGCGAGTTGATCTCCATGTGGAAGAAGGAGAAGGAACGAAGCTACAAGCAATATGGCGTAAGGGCTCCTGATAAAGTAGTTGCTTCCGTCCTTGCCGAACTGACAAATCTCGATAGAACCCCAGACAGTCCATGGCGGGTCCCGATCCTCGAACCATGAATGCGGCACCGTTCAATCCCCATTCGCAGAATTATTTTGCCAGGAATCACACCAACCGAAGCTTGCCCACCCCGGCGGAGCTTGCGAGCAGGTTAGAAGAGGCGAGGACATCTGCCAAACTACTGTCCCAAGTTGTCGTCAACACTCCTCCTCAGGAGGTCATCAACAATGACCTTATCAAGGAGTTCGCCGACAGATGCCAGAGCGCCTCGAGAAGTATACAACTGTACATGACTGCCGAAAACCCGTCTCCCGACAACGAGACTATGGAGCACTTGATTGATACAAACGAGCAACTTCAGTCTGCACTCAATCAGCACCAGAGAGCTGTTCTCGGCGCTCGAAAGCAGCTTGGGATTGACCCGCGGTCAGACAATGCCAGCCCCGTGAGCCCCCAAACGGCCGAGTCTCAGCAAGCGAGCCGGACCCAAGAATGGGCGCAGACACAGGCGCAGTCATCATCTTCTAGCTCAACTCCTCCTCTGCCGACAAGGCCATCCGAAGGAAGCGGGAAGGGGAAGGCATCAGAATCCTTCGCCCCGCCCCCGGGACCGCCTCCGAAAGCCCAACCGCAATATGGGGCCGAGGATCCATTTAGGGACCCCCAACCGGAGAACCACTACTCTTCATCGAGCAGACCCGGAGGATCCGGTGGTGCGGTGGAATTGCCGGGTAAGGAGCCGCGTCTGGGTCATGAGCCATTCCACCCAGGCTTCAACCCCACACCAAGCTACCTTGGAAGACAGGACAGCGCTCTTGGCAAAATCACGATGCACGGCGCCGACGATGCCGCTACGCCTGGACCCCTCAGCGGCAACCCGATTCATACTGTTGACCTCAGGAACCGGCAAGAGACGCTGCATGAGGACTCGGATGATGACCTTTACGAATCAACCCCGAAGAGTTCCAAGAAGAAGGAACCGGTGTACAGGTACTAAATTTGGTAGCGGAAGCTCGATTCAGTAAGGAGATGATGTATCCTGCCATGTTTTGTTGATCAGCAAAAGGTGGGTTTCTCTGCGCATATTGCTTTACAGATTCGAATGGAAGAAATTGGGTATCTTGTGGTGGTTCACATCTCACGCAAGGCAGAAGTTTGCGCTCTTGAGGAGCGAACAAAGTTATCGATTATAGGCATCAGCAAAGCACGGCGTCTGGCTTACGAGTTTATCTCTATAAAATCAGACCATTTATCCTCAGGGAAGTGATACTGCTCATATGTCGTTGCCATCAACCAAAGAAGGTGACAATGCAAAGTCACAGAAGGAACTGCTTCTAGTGCTGCCGAGAGGGAAAGGGGATCTGCAATCGTATTCCACCATCAAGCCTCTACCAGCACCCCATCTTTAGTCTTTCTTATCCCGGTCCATGTTCTCGAACGGATAATTTTCGTGGAACTTGAATACCACACAGTCCGGAAGCGCTCGTCTTCAGTTGGCTCCTCTGTGGACGAACAGTGACTTACCTTGGGGGATAGGGCACGTTTGAACCTGCACCAAAACCCGCGGTCACGCGAGCTTGGGATAAGATTGCGCCCCGGCATCACCGCTACGGCGCAGATATTGCGCAGAGCTCCGTGATGAGTTCGGGTAGGATACAGTGTCATGGCGACGAGATTTGCCGGCTGGTGCCCGCGGCGGCGGCCGTTAGGCCTCTCTCGCTGCGGCAGGTTGTTAACGAACATGCGTGTCGAGCGAGTTGAATGAGGTCTTGAGCGAGGTTATGTACAGGATTCATGATGGTCGCTTTCGAGAAGTCAGTAACATTCGTTAGTCTAAACACGACCCTCAATAACATCGTCAGCTAATACCTGAACTAGTAGTAAGGGCTGTACATGGTGAGTCTTGTTTGAACTGGGGTACACGTCTCCAAAAGTATTACCACCGGCCATCACCTCTGTCATCCCAGTAACTATCACCGTTCCCTCGGCAATTCTTCCCCTTGACACAGTTAGAACTCGCCGTGGTTATTACCGGTCATGGGAGCTTTGAGGTCATACGTCCTCTGATTCGAAACCATGCCGCATCTCAATCTTTTTTCCTCAACGCTGTATCCCTGATATTGATGCCAGTACCACATGCAAAACCTATCCTTTGTCCCCCCAGTACAAGTTGACGTTGTCTCGGAAGTCCAAGAGACCGACATTTCGAGGCTCGCCGCAAAGATTTCGAATCCTGGTGCAATGGAGGCCGATACTGTGGTGCTGATGGCGCCACTCTTACCTACGCCACATTCTCCCAGGTTCTCGCAGTTGATTGTGTCCTGCGACCCTGGGTTAGCCATGAGAGTTTGGGAACTTCCAGTGCGCGGACGCTGAACACGTTGGGAGGTGCCGGAGAGAGCGGGATGAGAGTATGGAAAGGGTTATCGGAAGTAGCCACCACCTCTTTACTTACCGTAACCTGCTCCGCGAGATGCCATTTGTGGTCGGGCCCTACTTTACGTCGATCGGTGTAAGGCGGGCACACATCGACCTGTCTTCCTGATACTCCAGAATCACGCTCTACATGTGAGCCCGTCGCGTCGTCGGTGGTGACTGGACTGGTAGCGAACATCGAAAGCCGCAGCATGCGATTGGCATGTTCAAAGGAAGAACTGCAGCCCCGTATCATGTCGCTCGGGTCCGACAGCGGCTTCAAGTCAACCGCCGAGCCCAACGGAACCTCGCACTCGACTGTGACGTCCGCATCGTTGTACATGCGGGAGCAGGTCGCGCCACCAGAAACCTCGATACCGCTGGAAATTTGGAACGTATTCGTGCCTAAAACGACGACGCCGGATCCAGTGTCGTCTGCCTCGACTCGAACCTTCATGTCCGCTAGAGTTGCTTCACTTCCACAGGCTGTGGCGTGAAGGACTTGGCCTGTAGAATCCCAAGCTGAAATCGCTGAGATTCCTCTGGCAATGTCCTTGTTCCAGTTGACACCTATAAGAACATTATGTCAGTCATGTTTGGGAACGGGAGCTAGATACGGGCGTGACATCATGTGTCAGTTGCCGCAGCCTGGCGACCTACGAATGAACTCGTTAGAAGGCCAGTGTGAGCGAGACAGAAGCGAGGGAGCCGCCGCAGCGACCGAGGCCACTGTCAGGAAGAAATGAAGGCCTTACATATTGTTGCCAATGCTGTATAGCTCGGGACTGGTCTAATGAGGGCAGTGTTATATGATAACTTAGCAGCTTTTGAGCAGAAAACGTAGGCACAGTATTGAACATTTATAGAGATCGTGAGATGAGACTCCCACTTCACAATGTGAACTCGGCTTTTTTGAATTGGACAGTCGCTGCTATGTCAGACGTGTACGCCGTTGCGATTCTGAACCGGCGGTGATGACAGGCCTGTCCGCTGCCAACTAAGCCTCACGTAAGGCCTGTAGCACGCCGTTCATAGACATGTATACATACATATCACGCCGCTTACACAACATAGACGCATGACGATTTGCTTACATTTAATATCAGAGACTTTGGATGGGGCCAATGGACAGTCGGCCTATTACAGCTCATAAAACTTGGCTACGTCGGACCGATGCCATAGAAGTTGCGACTCACCGCGGTAAGACATGCCACCATGTGCCCAGGATGATGATTGTAAAACATGGTCAAGGTAACAGAAACTACTGTGTTCTACATCCTTGGTAGGTTCAGCTAACACGGAAAGTTCATTGTGGTAGTCAGCCCAAGGGCACCTCTCACACTGAGTGTCAATCACTGATGTTTCTCGGGCTAAGATGGTGCTAGTCGGACCAAATCCAGCTTGTACAACTTGAGACACTCGCCCAAGGTAGGGCTGTCATGAAGTTCTACAAGATCTCACAGGATCACGAGCATCATTATGGCGCCTCATGCTATGCTTGGCCGTGAGAAGCCAGCGACTCAAACCCACCCCGTACGCGCAGATCGATCCGTGCTGACGCCATCGACAAGCGCCAGCCAGACTTGCCGGACCTGGTGATTGAGCAGCTCTCTGAGCATCCGGCCGTTCTAGCGACCCCTTTTCACAATGCTCCAGCTGGACAAGAATCGTCACGGCGGCTACTGCCAAGCCTGTGTCGTGGACCAAATCTTTCGGCAGGATGGCTCTCATCTTCGGCAGACACAAACCGCGCTCCCAGTGCTCCGTTAGAAAGCCGGAGACCGGAGACCGGGTTGGAATTCTTGCTTGGGAGAAGGGTGGAATCGACAGAATGATGGCAAGGTTCCAGACACCATCATTTGCCAGCAACGGTCTGCAGTGCTGGCCTTAAGGGAAATTTCGACGCCCTCGAGGACCACAACACCTGGTTAGTCCCGTCTAGTATGGCTCGTCTCGGGGAAGCTCTCGAGCGAGACCTATCCACACCAGAGACAGAGCAAGCTCGGACCCAGCAGATCGTATCAATATTTGACGTGAATCGACCATGCCTCGTTGCCACCGTCTTCAACTCAGATTGGGAAGTACTGCCTCATTATGAGACCAGAACTATGAGTATCTGTTGGGTAGTTGAGCCAGTGGAGAAGCCGTCGTCGGAGAGCCCCGAGGAGCAGAAGCGGCGCTGTCGACGAGGAGCAACCTATAGTCAGCGGTAAAGGAAAGGAACCTAAACGGCTACCTCCTCACCTGACACTGGTGATCTGGGAATAGCCTCAGATACGGAACCTACCGCCCCAACCCCTCTATACAGAGTGTTAGATAAGGTGAAAGGGATGTGGCAGATAATGGACCTACCCATGCAGGAATACGCTTTCATCTAGTTTCATGGTAAGCCAAGACATACAACAAAACGACGTCTGCGAGCGATGAGCAGCCGTGCGACATCACGTGTCTAAGGGAAGAAATCGGAGCCAAAAAGCTAGGATGATACCCATAGTCAATCAATACGGCAAAAAAAAGTCAAAAACATATAACACCAGGTATTCGCTGGTCGTTACCGATCTAATTATTAATCCGGCCCTTATTAAGCTTAACGTGGTTCATCAGTCAGCCGGACGTTTTTATCTAAACACACTTATGTCCAAACCACTTAAACTGTTGGAACAGCAAAGGCTGATAAGGAGTAATAGGCAGGTACCATGGGCTGGCTGGCACCTGCCCTGGGCGAAGTGGGACAACTGGCTTAGTCATCACGGCCGGATAAAGGTGGGGCAACCACCCAGGCCGTCACTACCTACTTCGACCGACTCCTGCCTACAATGTAAGATAGAACAACAACAAGAAGAACAAGCAATAGGATCACCAACAGACGAGTGATAATTGCTACCACTATTTGTCGTATACGACCCCGTGAACCAACATAAACCTTTGACGCGTAAAATCTCAATAACCATAATGCCAATCTACACCCAAGAAGACAAAGTCATTCTTGCGACTGAAGCGATCCGATCGATACGTGCTGCAGGTAATAACTTGAGCATTTCGTATGCCGCAAAGACCTACAGTATCCCAAAGAGTACCTTAGCCGATAGAATAAATAACCGACCGCAATACAAACAAACTTGTCACAGACCCGCTGTCCTAGCCCCCAACCTTGAGGTTGGTGTTGAGTAATCCGGTGGCCGGGTTACGTAAGCCTGAGGCTGGATAAAACTCTGCATCCTGTATTCTGTCGCGCATGTCCAGAAACGTAGCTCCTTGAGCTACGTCTTGTCAACAGAGCCTGTACCTGCTTATGATAGAGCCTGCCCGTAGCAATAGATTGTCTGATCCGCCTGCCCAGCATCCACCTGCCAAACAACCTGCCTGCTACCGTGACAGAAAGGGCTATTTAGATTATAATATACCGTTATATATTAATAAAGATTATTAGTACCTCTAGTATACCTAAAATTTATAGAAAATAGAGGTACTGGGGCCTTATTGGTTAACTTAATAGATTTGCAAGCCCTTATTAGCTCTACCCCGCCCTTAGCGAAAGTGCTGTCTATCCGCACTCTGTGGGATACGGGCTGCTCTTCGGTTTCGACTGATTAGTCATCGGTAGCGTCCTTCTAATAGGCCAGCCCTCATATAGGGCTTATCTATGGGCACTCGGCATCATGAAGCTGGTGTAGGTTTCCGTCACAGGGTGACGAAGAATAGCCCAGAATACGGAACAAGGATTGTGCGTTCCTAAACGGTCAGGTACCGTTTTAGCCTGAGCAGCTCCGTCGTCCGACGGTCAGCACTAATTGAACACCTAGATACCCTAAGCGAGGCACACCACCACCACAAGTACCCAGCCCGTCCGCAACCTGCTTCCAAGTTCCAACTTTCAAGAAGCACCTTTCGAGCTCTCCAATGAGGGTGAGATTTAAGCGACCCTCCTTTGTGGGCTCCTAGGCTAGGCCATGAGGACCCGTTCTGCAGCTATAACCGCCAACCCTCTGTAATATAAGCATGATTGGCTAAGTTTTCGGACTCAACTTGTCCTGAAGATTCCGATGCCCGGCGGCGTTTATTAACAAGATGTGTGTTTCTAGGCTCTCGGTAAATTATCATAAACAATTCCAGGTCCCCCCCCCCGTTCATAATTCCTGCATCAACTACTAAAATGCTCTAGGTACTATCAGGAGGCACCTGCCATATCAGCCTATTAGGGAACTGTTAGGGGCTCCCTCTCCTAGAGCAGCATAGCAGCGCAATACAACAAGACCAATAGTGCCTATACAACCCATTTGACAAGATGCAGGCACCATTTGTGGCAGGTGCGAGTGGAAAACGTGAGGCAGTTCCTTCACATCTCAGAGCTGCCCCACCTACACCTTGCCCAGATATCCAGCCCAGCCAGCCGTCAGCTTTTCCCATCTTCATCATCAGATCCAATACAGTAGTATTACCTCCACACCACTCGAAGCATCGTCAAATCGCGCATCCCGGCCAAGCCAATTAAGACCAAGAATAACCAATAAGCAGTAACGTGCATGATAAGCGAGCGGATCGGACAAGCGAGCGGATCGCTCGACAGCAACCACTCCACGTATGTAAATCTTGATCAACATCAACAAAGTTTAATTAATTGAAACTACCCATAATCCTCTTCTCTAGACATTTCTCTCTGAAATGGACATGTGCGCGCATTGTGTCCAGTGTTCCCGCAGACGCCATATCGCCGTTGACCTGTTTCCGTCCTCGGCCGACGGCCACTACTCCGGCGCGTTTCCTCCTCAATCTGAGCTGTAGCCTCTCTCTGTGATTAAAGGTCATCTGCCTCAGCTATAGTAAGGCTCCCTCCTTGCCTGAGACGAGTTTTCTTAGATCTCCGCCGTCGGCTAAGTAGATTATTCTCCTCCCGAAGGGTTTTGTTCTCAGCCTTTAGAAGAGCATTACGATACATCATAGCTAGTGTCCCTTTGAGGATATAGTCAACTACGTTACTAGCTGGTGTTGGCGAGCTATTTAGATAATTTAAGATTCGATCTTTAATCAAAGTTAACTGAGAATTTGCCTCTGTTGGGTTGTTTAGTATCTGAGAAGTCCACGCTGGGGGTGTTGCTGGGAGAGACCCTGGGGGCGTTAGAGTATGTAACTTCACATCTAGCTTCGAAAGCACACTTTCAGCACTTAACGGAACAAGCCCAGCCCCTCTAAGACCTCCCTGGATGTTTTTTACCATTAGGGCTTGCGTGAAAGCGTTACGAAATGCAGGGAAGAAGTCCTCCTTCGTAATATACGTATTACCCCGGCGCATCTTATCCTCAATTTATCGACCATAAGCCGTCTTTAGTGGCCCAAAACACCCAACGTCTAAGGGCTGAAGTAGATGAGACGAATGGGCCGGCATGCAGAGTGTGATGATATTGTTTTCCTTATAATATATCTCAAAGTCCGCAGAGTAGTGACTTTCATGCCTATCAACGACGAGGAGGCGATATCTACCAGTTGTACGCGGTTTTGTATGCCGATCAAAGTACTGGAGCCAGTCTAGGCCTCTTTTATTTGTTGTCCATCCGTTTTCAGACGTTGCAATGACCCAGTCGCGTGGGAGACCTGTTTCTATGTACCAGGTGGAGAGGTGATATTGGCCTGCGACGATGATGTACGGCGGAACGCTATAGCCTGACGAACTGATGGCTTGAATAACTGTAACCCATTCACGATTGCCAGGCTACGTCATTTTCGTGTTTGAACGCCTTTCAGCACTCGTGACAACCATTCCGGATGCAATCTGGCCCATCATAAACCCAGTCTCATCAAAGTTATAGATATCGGAGTCCACGATGCCGTACTTCGCGATTATGTTCGCTATAAGGCGAAACCACGCATTTATCGCGTCTAGATCTTCGCATTAGGCCCTCTTATAGTCATACTTACGAAAAAAGCGCGTCCGGAGCTGTGGGTATCGCTTAACGAAGTTCGAAGCCCAGCGCTTCCCAACTGGGGGCGCGTCGCGGTCGGCGAGCAGTCGATTAGCCATTTCTTCTACACCACTGATCCGAGGAGGGAATAATCGGGAATCCAGGTCGAGAATATACTCAACTAGCATATCCTCTTCGAGCAACGTCAAATTCCGTAAGTTTGGTACGGTTTCAAGTCGCGAAGTTCTTCCATTAATACGGGCGCGTAAGGTTGAAAATGGCACTAAGTAGATCCGAGCTGCATCTTTAATACTCAAATTTGGTGTTTTTTCGATAGCTTAAACTACTAGAATTATACCAGCTTCTTTGTTTAATGACTGTATCATTGTGGTGGATGGATATGTGTTGGAAAGAAAAAGATGTGGCGGTCGCTGTTGAGCGATCCGCTCGCTTGTCCGATCCGCTCGCTTATCATGCACGTTAGTTGAATTATTCGCTTTATAATGCTTATGCAGAGGTTACTCCACAACTTGATATACGCTCATTGGTAGCTCGCTCACCGAAGGACGAAAAGACCCATCTATATCGCCCGGCAAGTCATGCAAGCCCAGAGCGAATCTGCCTTGCTGCCTCGACGCCTCTGCGACCAGCAGCTGTCCGCAGGGCGGCTTTTTCGGCGGCATCTATTCCGAACTACAGCATAGGTCAAACGGTTGCCTCTTCCGCGCGATACATATCCTTTATAATAGTCCCTCGAGCAGTACACTTTCTACGCAACAAGGCTCCCACTAGTAGCCACCTTATTCACCTCACAAGCATGTCGGACCCTCAGAACTATACTGTTGGCTGGATTTGCGCCATCACCACCGAGTTTGTCGCTGCACAGGCCTTTCTTGACGAGAGACACGAAAGACCTAGGGAAGTTTCGCAGAATGATAGCAACAACTACGCATTGGGCAAGCTTGGCGATCACAACGTCGTTATCGCCGTCTTGC